TGATAATAAATTGGATGTCACTGACGTGACCAATGTGTTACCGACGATGATGAATACTGTTCAAACCTCCTCTGCATCAGGAGATGGAAGGATAAATATTGATCCTACGTCATGCTACTTAAGGTCTTCTGGAGACGATGAAATGTCAAAATTTGAAATTCCACCCTTGCATATTATTTATGGGTCAAAAACTTCTGTTGATAAGTTAGCATCACGGACTTCATGGTATCTGCTGATCGGAGCAAGTGGTGGTGGATTGGCGACTCGTCCCCATGATAGAGAATGTAGTCCTTGGATAGGATATGACCAGTTTTGCGACGTGTTGTTCATGTTCGTATGGGTTAATTGGGTAAGGTTTATACTACCGTTAGGTCATTCCACGATAGATAGGGGAATCAAGGGCCTGATGGGAAAGTATAGGTACCTAGTTAACACGATAGGTCATATCCATGTTGGATGGCGGGTAGGCGTACTGCTGTAAGTCCTACACGTTATTCCGGTGTGGATTAGGGGATAACATGGGAACCCTAAATAAAGTATCATTAACGCTTGCTCTTTTTGCATGGAGGGATATTGCGGGCCCGTGTAGAATTCTTTTTGAATGTTTTGTGTTTTGGAAAATCCCTCCATGTTTACATATCTTTGCTATGACATGATGGACTTTTTCTCTTGACATTTTTGGTATTTTATTTGATTCCAATTTAAGATTTTATCATTGTTTGTTGTTATTCTTTCTATATTTGTACCTATATTGAAGTTTTTGTGTTTGCTTCTGAACTGTACATATATTGTTTAAATCTGATATAATATGGCTACCGCCACATTTTTGGATGGACGCGGTGGCTGCTGGACTTAGTGTCACTTACTAGTTATTGTATTGGATACTCTGCGGAGTAAATTAACCCTGGAAGAAACACAAATACCGTAAGACTCTGTATTTCCATTTTATAATAATAAAGAGACGTTTTCTCCTAGAATTTTGCCCTTTTCGATTTGGTCGGGACCCGGATCTAGGAGGAACGTACAGGAGTGTTTCTATTGGAAACAATTAGGACAGCCACTGTCGAAATAAATTTACAATGCCTTATCTAACCTCAATCGAGAGGTACTAAACTGAGATGAAGACGTACTATTAACACTAATATCATCAAGTTTATCATCATCATTAAAATCAGACATACCATAAACAGCTTTAGAAATTTTACCATCCATTTCGTCATTTTCCTTTAGCCTTTTGCTTCTAGTTTCCATTGTATGCTTTGTTCGAAATTGATTACCAAGCAAATGTGAAATTAATCCAAACGTATTCGACCAATAATAACAAAAATGTCCAAAAGTATCCAAAGTATGACCAAAGAACCAAAATTGAAGTGTCCAAAGTATCCAACGATCAAATTAAAAGTTAGAAGAACTTTTGGACCCAAATTTCCGAAAGTTTCCAAAGACAAAAATTTAATTGAAGAGCGTCTGGACCCAAAACGTCCAAAAGAATCCAATGTATGACAAAATTATAATAGAAGAACTTTTGTTACGTCCAATTTTTTGCTCTTTGATCCTTAGAAGCACAGTTGTCGATCTATTTGCAATTCACGATCCCAAATATTAAATAAGAACGAAACTCCAAAGTAGATATCAAAGTTTATTGCCAATTTACAATGATCGACCAAAATGTGTTTATTACAAATAGACGACCAATGTCGTTCTAACAACAATAATTATAATAATTACAATTACCTTCTATTTTATAGGTTTCTAGGAGCAAAAAACTGCAAACGAACAACCAAGACAAACAGGAAACCAAAAATGGCCGGAAATAATAATTCAAACAAGTTCATAAGTTAAGTAAAACAAATGTACCCAAAAAACACAGTGAAATTAATGATATTTATATATAAAGGTTTTGATCAGCAAAATGTCTTCATTCCTCCCGTAACACCAACTACACTAATTCTGGTCAAACGGCATTCATTTATTTATTTGAATGAGTACATTTGCTTCAGGGCAGTAGAATTTCTGAATACCAGCTGCTTTCACATTACCATGCAAGAGGTCAGCCTGTAGCTGCAGAGAGAATAGTGAGAAAACTCTGACATGAATAAGAAAAAGGTTTAAGAACAAAGTAAATAAATGGATGAGTAAGTTGATATATAGTTATGAAAATTGTGTCAGGGAAGTTTCATCGAGGAAGAGGAAACAAAAATAAATAGCTATATAGATTACGTTTACATCTAGGGAAATGGCAATAATAACAGTCAGCAAGCCTTAAAAAATGCGTCAGATATAGCTAGTCCAAGAGTGAGATGAAAATCCGTAATCGAGTACGGGTCTTTTTCAAATCCGTTCCGGGACCTATTCACCGTGAGGCCTTAGCCACGCTGGCTTGCAGAATATTCTAAATATGGACAACAATCAGTGAGAAAAAATGCGCACGAACCTAGGCATTCGTTATTACTGTAGAATCCTTTTTGAATGTTTTGTTTTTTGGAAAATCCCTCCATGTTTACATATTTTTGCTATGACATGACGGACTTTTTCTCTTGACATTTTTGGTATTTTATTTGATTCCAATTTGAAATTTTATCATTGTATATTGCTATTCTTTCTATATTTTGTACTTATATTGAAGTTTTTGTGTTTGCTTCTGAACTGTACATATGTTGTTTAAATTTGATATAATATGGCTACCGCCACATATTTGGATTGATGCAGTGGCCGCTGGACTTAGCGTCACTTATCTGTCACTGTGTCTGATACTCTTCGGAGTAATTGTACCCTGGAAGAAGCACTATTTCCAGGTAATGCTTTGTATTTCCATTTTTTAATTAATAAAGACGTTTTCTCCTAGAATTTTGTCCTTTTTGAATTAGTTGGGACCCGGAACTGGGAAAAGCGTACAGGAGTGCCCCTATTGGAACCCATTGGAACGGCCACTGTAGAAATTCATTTGCAATTACTACATTAATTACAAATGTTATCAAACAAATTGCAATAATGTAGGGAAATTATTGCTATTTTACTACACTCGCGAACGCGCTAACAGTTCAGATAATAATATGTTATTCAAAAAACATAGCACGTTACAAAAGGCTGTAAATGTTTTGCCCCATAGACGTGGGTACATTGAGGTCATCGCCTCACCGTCATGAATGCTGGTTATAAACACCACCCTCCCCCCCTTTTGTTATGATAGGCTGTCTTACATTTGGTGGTAGATTTTCGTCATTGTTTTTTAGTCTAGGCTCTATTGTTTAACACATTTTGTCGGAATACGCTGTTTCTACTAGCTCTATGTTACATGCGAACCAAACAAATTTAGCTGCTGTATGTTGAACTAAATATCCACGAAGCATTTCATGCTGTTTTTGATTTAACTATTAGTAATAAACTGTAAGATATGGGTCAGATAATAGGCAGTTTGGAAATAGGAAGGATAGGCAGCTGACGGAAGTAAAAGAGGAAAAATAGTGTTAAATTTATGTGAGCGAGGCGATAAGTGGGTAAAAAGCAAGGATGTCAATTCATCATGGAAATTAAAAATCATCAAAATGGTAATATATGAACGAGAGGGAACTTACAATAATACAGAAAGTTTTAGTTCCTTTTGCTTGAGAGAAGTTGAGCGGCATTTACAGGCTTTTTAATATGTCTGTCTACTGAAAACGAAAACTGAACATTTTATGAAAGACCGGATGATGATGATACGAACTTAAATTTTAGAGAAAATACGAATGTTACGGCTAGCACCTCAAAGGCATGACGTACCACCGTCTGTTGTAGTAGGGGAATTAGTCTTTCATTCCGTGATACGAATCGTGGTGAGGGTGATATATATTCATGATCTGTTATTAGCTTCTAAGGTAAAACTGTATATTTGGTGGGCCATAAATGTGTTCCTGGATTTGGTGTGAGCTGCAGAAAGTTTCGAACAACAGATATACTAGTTTCATAAACCTAGTGATTGAGTCACAGACACCATTTCGAGATTATGTGCATCTGGGTGTCATCTCCCAAATTTTATAGTTTTACGCACATCTTTCATGAACATAAGAAACAAGAGTGGAACTAATACACTTCTACGGATAAATCCACCGGTTATTGTTCTTGGTGATTAAAGAAAATCGCTGTAGTTTACAATTTTTTCGCGTCTATTTAGGGATGAAGCAAAGAACAAATAAAGTGATTCGCTGATTTCCTATGACTTTAGTTTCAGAAGAAGCACTTCGCATGAGACCTAATCAAAAACTTTCTGAAGGTCAAAAAGAAGGACCGATACTAATATCATTTTGTTTTATTTTTCTGTTGTCACATTGTGATAGACTATCAGGAATGTAGCCCATGACCTGTACCTCAATAACCTATGCTATGAGATCTGTATGAGATATTTATTAGGTAGATGTTGTAATATCATCGCCTTTATTACTTTCCCAATCACCCTAGATACTGGTGGGGTACTTAAATGTCAGTAATTTTAACCATCCGCTCTAGGCCCATACTCGATGATATTAGTTAGTGCATTTATCTCCAGGCAGTATGGAAGTTAGTCTGAAAAGTCGATTGCTTTAATTCTAGTCACTTTACTTTATGAATAGTAGGTCGGTTTTCCAGCGTTCGTTTTCCAGCGAAGATCGAGTTTATCTTTGAAAGTTTTCACCAATAGGGCTGACATGTTGTGTTCCGTTTTTGAGATAACGGGGACAGGATTTAAGCTTTTTAAGTGCTAGTCGTGAGTGAGTTTGCTGGGGCCTGTCACTTAGGTTACACATGCTTTATTTGGTCATGTGCAATAGAATCCTTAGTCATACATATCAAGTGTGCACACTAACACTCATTGAACATCACCAAATACTTAAACCATGATAAAAACAGCCACAGTTGTGTACAAATTCAACATTTCTTCTACGCGAGCACGTGAAAATTAACAATAATCGAGAGCAAAGAAATCAACTGGATTATATTAGCTCGTAAAAAAGATATTGGATATTGAGCATTATAAGGGCATGGGGTCTGGAGTTTAGCGCTTAATCGACTGTGTCATACGATTCCGCTCAAACCAGACATGAAATACTTGCCTGAAAGAGTTGTTTTGTCACTGGTTTTGTGTCTCGGAACAATCAACATGCTGGCTCAAAGAGTGAACTTAAGCATTGCAATCTTATGCATGATAAAGCATAGCAATATAAGTGACAATTACAGTACAATTAGTAAATATTCTATGAGTATCAACTCAACATCAGATTGTAGTATGCAGTCAATCGATGAATCAGAGGTATTTAAGCTTTTATTCCGTTTCTATCATTATATCAATCATAAATTGTTTTTGAATCCTAGGTTTTTTGATGAGCAAACAGGTACATGCCTACTCTTTCTAAATACTATTTATCCCTACTTGAAATGTTCAGCAAGCCAAATTGGCTACTGCCTCTCAGTGAATAGCTCTCAAAACAGACTTGAAGAACACTTACTCAAGTACGGATTATCATCGTCCTCTTCGACCAGCTTTGTCTGATGCATGTCTCGAAACTTACTAGCTGTGATCATTATCATCTCCTTATATCACTAAATCATCATATCTAGGTTACTATCGCTGTTTCTTCCTCTCTGCCTACACTTCTGTCTTCTAATTCAGTCTTCACTACCAACTAAGCAACACATTTGGTTAATTGTTTCTAAGATCTTCTCATTAGTATCAGAATCTTCTCCTTATTATTCTCGATATTGCAACCAATGTGATCTCCGGTTTAGTAATGTTATAGCTACCGGTTTTCAGGAACCCTACTGTACTGCGATAAATGCACTCATTGAAATCATGGAACATACAAATTAATTAAGAACTGTCGATACACCATAATTAGTTTATTTGATCGTCCAGACTACCATAACATTGGATATCATAAAATGCATGAAGCTGCTCCAAAAGAACACGAAACGAGAGCAAAGAAATCAGTTGGTCTATACTGCCTGGTGATAAAGATATTGCGTTTATTGTATATGAGACATATAAGTCTGCGTATGCTTAAATATATATCATATATTTTGAAGACGAATGTAGCGAGAATATTTTTCTCACACTCGAATTCTGATATGAGAGAACTGTTTTAGATTAAACAACTCTTGGATTATTGCTCTTTAAAAAAGGTTTTAATGTGGACATACTGAGTTAAAAATTTAGTAGGTTCTGGTTTAAGTCGTCTCTTAAATTTCCGACGTTGTCGAAAATTTTAATCAATTTCATTGGATATCCCATAGTAAAATTTAAGGAAGTGTGACTAACGGCTCTAAACTTTTCTCTGATCTGGGGTTTTTCTCAAAATTTGCACAATTTCGGAAGATTGGGCTTATGGGTAGTATCACCCATATATAATGTAAGGCAATAAAAAACGGTTGTAGGTGATATAATCTAAATTCAAGCATAGTGAGATACTCATCCCATACCTTTCTCGGCATTGTAACATGCTATCTTTTTCAACATTTTAGTTTGTCTCACATCAATAAATCCGTTTTCTCTTAAATTTTATCTTACCTTCTTTAACTTTATTCTCCATTGTTATCTAAAATTAGCAGTAAAGATGATAAAATTTCATAGAAAATTCTGTGATGTCATGTTCTGTATAAAAATTTTATTTATGAGTATAAAATGTGATAATGCGTCAGAGAAGTGATTGGGATTGACTCGATGAAGAGTATTTACACAATTTCGAGGTTTTTCATAGACTGTTTGCAATTTTATATTCGAGAGTCGTTGCATCGCTTTATAACATTAAGTGAGCGTAAACTAAATAGTAAAGAGTACAGTAGTACGAAGTAGTGTCTGTGGTTTTTAGTATTGAAATGGATCGGAGCAGTTGATTCGTACTCTTAATACTATTAGAATTTTGATGAAAAACGTAAAACAAGATATCATTCTATTGTGCACTCGTTTAAATCATTGGATGAGGAAATATCATGAGGAAAACCATGAGATAATACATTGATGGAAGGGAAATCAAAAGAAACAAGATAGCGAAGACGGTTTTCGTAACCTTAAATTGCACAAAGAATTTATTTATTTTAAGAAGTTTCTGATTTAAAATTTCTGTATAAAAAATTTCTTTCGTAATGTAATTTGGAAAGATATTTTAGCATTTTGAGTATCCTGAGTTAACTATGTCAAAGTGATTCACGAATTTCCATTGCTCTCTTTTTAATTCAATGTATACGGTCTTGGGTAATTATCTTGTGAATTATACTACAGTTATAGGAAATATAAAGAAGAAACGAAGAATTCACTTCTGTTAGCAGATTCAATTTTTCCGTACAGTAGCCAAGATTAAGTGAAAGGATTCGTCACCAAATTTTTTTGGAAATTGGTTTTACTCCATTTAATTAAGATTTAAAAGTTGCTAAGCTTTCTGCTTGGAATTTCACATGCACTTCTCTCATTCAAAATGTATGAAGCATGATAGTTAAGCTATATACGTGACTGAAAATCGTTTAAAGCTCCCTCAGATAACTGGAATGGCCAGAAATTTGGAGTATGATGTCACTGAAATGAACTACAAGTCAGATGGTAATCAGAAGGCCGTAAAGAAACTTTAAAGTGAGGGATATCTTTGAGATCAAAGTACTATTTCTTATATGCTTAAGTTCCTCCTCATGAAATATTTAAGTGGGAAAATCTTAATTTAACTACTCACAAATCTTTTGACAAAGTTATTTCGTGGAGCTAAGTAAACTTAACAAACTGAAAGTGACCTATTTATCGGGAATGAGGCTTTTATCATGCTTCTAACAGGCTTTTTAAAGGGGTATGAAATAAAGGAGTGAGAGGTCACTCCTTAAGCCATCGTAACAGTAGTTAAGTTAAATTAAACAAAACTTTAAAAGCGAAGATTAGTATTTCAATGACTGGATTATTGGATCAAACTATCAACTTTAGTCACGCTCCAGGAACACGGTTAAAAGTTGTCTTTGTAGGGGGAGGGTTATTAGAGATCACACCACAAAACAATGTGAAATAAAAGTTGATATCAATACTCCTTTAATTTTGAAATGCTCGTATTCATACATTTTTTTATTTTGAGCAGCATGTACCTCTGTGATTATGTTATGTAAGACTATGTTTAATGCTTCAAAAACATAGAATCTTTATTTATTAGGCTTTAAGAGATTTTTTACCCTCTGTGAAATTGTAATACCGCATTTTCTTTCAGCTACATGCTTTATTCATAATGATCGATGCAAAATTTTAAAATATTAGCCATTTTTTATATTATTTTAAAATGTAGACTATGATAGCGGGTCCGTTTGATTGGGATCGCTCAAGTCGAGGAATTCTTCTTGGAATAATTTTCTGGGGTTATTTTCTTGGGCAGATACCTGCAGGCATCCTGATTCAAAAGTTCGGCGTCCGTCCGGTTCTACTTACTTCCCTAATTGTAATGAGTACATCAACAATTGTTGTTCCACTAATAGCAACAAAGTCATTGTATTTATTTTACGCTGCACGAGTAGTTACAGGATTGGCATCCGTAGGTTCTGTTATGCTTCTTTATACAGATCTCTGTTACTTTTGATTGTAAATATCAGCATTAGCATTCTGGTTTTCAGTTTTAGTATTGGATTTTAAATAATAGCTTGTAGGTTCTTGCTGATAAATAGTACCATTTGCTCTAGTACCAAGAGTTTGAAACAACCTCGAATTTTCCAGCTTATAACACATTGCTAGGCTACAGTACATCATCAGTGAGCAGGGAAAGAACAACCGACCATGACTCGATATGTTACACTTATTCCTTTATTAACGTTAACTTGTTACGAGAAGGATCTTCACATAAAGTATGGATTGATAAAACCTAGATCATATACAACTACTGAATCCAACGAGTTCCCATGAACAACAGCTTTAGATGTATTTTCTCCTCAAAAATCTCCCTATCTTAAAGCTCACTGATCGATGATTCAATCTTTAAAGCATTTGATTTACAGCTATAGAGTTGTGAGTTAGGAACATTCCTCAACCTTGATCACCTTTTGCGGCACCTGATATGATATGATAAGGGAAATGGACACCTAACTGATATTATTCAGATAAATACAACACTAACGGTATCTGTATAAAGATATTCTATCGTTGATTTAGATGTTGTTTAAAACGTTTGCTGAAAAGTATAAGATTATTTTTTAAGAAGGCTATTGAACCTATCTTATGATCGTACACATTGAATAAAATGAATAGATATAGTGTAACTAGTGTAACTAGATTCACACGAGAAAGGCAATTAAATAATTTCTTTTAGTTAAGTTCAGCAACATAATAAACTGTCCAGTGAAATCGTTTCAATGATGATTGTTTGTGTCTAGTTAAGCTACTTTTGAATAACTTAAAACAAGGTATAGAAAAATTATTTTTCACCCGTCCCACTTCTCTTTAGGTATCAATATCATATGGTCAATAGTTTTTTCTTGAATGACGCATTAAACTAGTAAATGGACTTGTTTTCCATTAGTTATATTTTGAAGTCTAAGTTATTGATTGATGTTTTATTGAACAAAAACTATAGGCAAGTTGGTTTCCTGGATTCTATCAACTTTGGACTGCTTGGGCACCTCCAAATGAACGTGGACTTTTAATTGGATTTGCTTATGCAGGTATTGTTCGTATTGGACTTACTGTTTTATTTTGTTTTATTGTTTTTATTTTATGATTTAAAATGCATCTTGATTTGGATTCTCATCAACAACTGTACATATGTATATATTGATTTCATGTAATCATTTGTTCACGACAGTTCAAACATTTACAAAGAAGTGGAATTTACATTAGCTTTGTCAGTGTGAAGTGATAAGAAGACGCTAGTTTTGTTTAGTCCTAGAATTTTATAATTTAATTACTGTAATCAGTCTAACTTTACATTGTTTCACATTGAATTCTATTGTAGGACTTCATGTAGGTAGTGCTATTTCAATGCCTATAACTGGGGCTTTGTGTCAAACTTCATTGGGATGGTCACTAGTTTTTTACTTCTATGGTGAGTTTATCATTTTGAGTAGACTTAACATGAAATACTATTAAGGAATAGAATACACAGTTATGTTTTAATTATGAGGTCAAAATGTATCCTTTGGATGAATCTCAATACTGGTTGTATGCCGGAATAAAAAAATTATGTAAAACTAGTTTTCTTACATATTGTTGGATAGATAAAAGTTGAATTATTAAAAATTACGGAGCCCAAATTTACACTAATAATCAACAGAAGATTTTAGAGATAACTTCTCAATAACTTGCTTGGCAATGAAAATTGAGTGTACATTGCTAGTGTTCTGGTAATTCAAGTCTATGACGGTCTCATAATCCGGATAAAATAGTAGGTTTACGAATGTGGTTAGCAATCCTCTTTCGTAGAAAATACCAAATCGCTAAAAGATTGTTAAACAGAACAAATAATCCAAACCATTTAAACTTTGCTCTGGTGGTTGTAAGATCTTCATTTAAAAGATTAACGATGTCTCATGCTGAAAACTATACATTTTTCAAAGAATAATGACATTCTGCATTATTTAACCGATCTTTGAAATGTGAAAATAATTGGATAGAACACTATTTAGTCATATTTCATTATAACATTTTATTGATAAATATGTCATAAGATTTTTTTTCATCAATTTACTTGATATTATAAAATCAAAATAACATTTTTCAATTCATATTCAGTAAAATTTACCTCTGATTCACTCAGTATAATAATCTAAATATATACTACACAAATGAACGAAATAACTAACTAACTAACCCGCATGCACATACTATAACATTAATAAATATTCGATATAATACAATAGGTGAAAGTGTCATATCATTCGGTTTTAGGGTTATTCATCATACATTCCAGCTTATAGGTTATATTTACTTTCATTGATTCGTAATGGAATGTTTGAAAAGTTCATTCATTCATTCATCTATATATATATATATATATATATATATATATATATATATATATATATATATATATATATATATATATATATATATATATAAACTCTATGAGAAATTTGTTGATTTCGTAGACAGTATAGAAAAAAAAATATAAAATGTATTCTAAGTGAATATATTTTCATGATAATATAACTGAAAAATATAATCATCAGTTTTAATAATAAACAAAACATCATTGAATTAGGCAAACAAATTATCCATCACTGAAAATCAATAATTTGTATGGTTTACGCTTTGTTGTATATGTAGTTTTTCAAACTAGTCAATTACAACAATAATTCTTTATTATAAAGTCAGATAAGTGTAAATTGGATTTTTTTTTTTACGAATAAAAATATCATGCGGAAAAAATAGATGACATCTATTTCAATTGTATGTGGACATATAAACACTGTTATGAATTGATTTTTCTAGAGTTTGTTTAGACAGTTAGTTTTCTATGAGATGAAGTCTCAGACAAGCCACACCAAACTTTCCCCCTTTATGCGGGGGCTTAAGACCAACAGTAACCCTAGAGAAGCGATGGACACATAATCATGAGGAAGAGTAATATGTAATAATAAGGGTATTATTATTCAGTTTATATTGTTGTAAAACTACTCATTGTGTTTGTTGTCATAACTAAAAAACATTCTCACCACAATTATTCATTTGTAGTATATAGAAACAAAACAGAAGAAACCGAAAAGAAATAACTGTATGAGTAATTGTAATTTGTCATTTTATTCTGTCTAATACAAAACACACTTCTCTGCTTAATCATGAATAGACTGGAAGTTAATTATGATGAATAGAATTTAAACTGAAAGAGGCAGAAAATTACCAACAAATACAGGATGTGAAAATAATGCTAATAATAACAGAAATATTTTAAAACGTTAGTTACGTCATATCTGGTCACGAAAGGAATAGGGGTGTCACGAATTTCTTCTGAGACCCATAAATCATAGTTAAATGTACGAATTCCTATAGCTTCCGCTATGTGTAGGCGACAGGCTTGAACTCCGTTGGGAAATGATGGAGTTATACGATAGAACACCCGTAAAGATCTAGACTTATCTACAATATGACCATTATCAATTAGATGTGCTACGAAAGAACTGTGTATCGTTTTCAACTGGCAGTTCATAAACCATGCTGGGAGGTTATTACTGATTCATCGGTTAAGTTGTCTGGTAGTTCGCCCGAAAAAGCTATCTCCACGGGAGCAGCTGAATTTGTAAATGCACATAGAGGAGGGCAAATCAGATAATTTATCCTCCGTTTGAGTAGACATCCCTAGTCAACTTGAGAAGGTCAACGGAAGTTTGGCTGATTTGAATGTCCTACTAATTACTCTCGTTAATCTGCCCTGCAAAGTATCGTAGGCCACATTTCCGTTGAATTGTAGTTTAATGAATAAAGGCTTCTTTTGAGCGGTCAAAATTTCTGACTTCTTTTTTATATCAAACATATACTTCCTTATGAATACGTTAGGGTAACCGATCTAGGTCAGTGAGCTGCAGATAAATTCCAGCTCCTAACTTAAAGTATCCACTGAACAGATTATTTTATAAATTATCAGGCTGTTAATCTGTGAAACATAATATACTACCAGAATAAATTTAAGTAGAACAGTATTATTAAATAGAAATTATTTTTATAAAAATTGTTTTTCACCTATTTTAATTGCTTCATTATTTTATATTATTATTATCTTACTACTCAATTTAATTCAATAACTTAGATGTGTAGAAAGTAATTTTTGCAAATTTGCATATATTTCATTTAAGCTAGCAAGTATACTGTTGTTTTAAATAAACTATAACTCCTAAGAGAATAGATCACCAGCAATTATGACAATGTTTAACATTGAAGAATCTACTAAATAAATGAAACTTGTGAAAACTTTTTACTTATACAGAACTAGTCAAGTAGCAACTTACAGAGAATTGTTAGTGAAACTATCAACTTCAAGTTATGTTTATTATGGGGTTTCTCTAATTCATTGTGTTAGTAAATTTTTGCACTGATAATTCATGAGACTGAAATATTGATATTGATTCATCATTCATCATAGTCACTAATGTTGAATTTTTGTCCAGCTGTTAATGCCAATCGAATTCTACAATCATTTCGTATATTATCCACACATTGTAATTGGTAGATATACATTTAAGTTATAAAACACAGAGCTTAAGTTGACAAGCTAGTATTGTGGTGTGCGCTACTTATAAATAGTATATGACGCGAGTGTAAACATAGCGTCTGGCAGCAGAAGATGGGGGAAGATCAAGAAAGGAAGAAGAGTGGGAACACAATGGAATTTGTATGAAACGCATGAATAGTGAAATGTCAGACAATGGATTGATGATGGATTGAAGATTTTCAAATTAACGGTGGTTACGATATGGCTATCCTATTTTACTGAGTAACTCTGTAATTTTCGTTAAATACAATTCGGTTGCCCTCACCTGTGTTTGCCTTCACTACAGTATTATTAATCTTATTTGAATCATTCAATATTTATGTAATAATCAAGTAGTTTCTTTTTTTTTAATATTCCATAATTAATACTTTGTTATTTTCTAATTTCTTTTTTTATTATACAAAAAAAATAAAAAAATAAAAAGGTGCAATCAGTTTTATTTATTGTATTTTATGGTTTATATTTGTATATGATGAACCTAAATTACATCCAAGAATAACTGTAAAAGAAAAAACTTATTTAGAATCAACTTGTCCAATTTTATTAAAAAATAATAATGGAAAAGTAAGTTTGAATGAAATTATTTTTATATATATATGATATATTCAAGTTTGAATCAAAAATCACTTATAGATATCAAAAAACAAAATGATTTAATCAAAATTTGTTGAAACGTATTGACTTTATTAGGAATTTATAAAAGTAATTATTGTTAAGTTTACGATGAATATAGATTTTTTTGTTAGATGATAACCATAACAAAAGTCAAATACAAATTGAATTGAATGAATTTACTAAGACGCAAAGTATGATGTCTTGTAAAAGTTTCTGTTAGGATATTCATCCAATAACGTAAGAGAATTATTGGCTAATTCCTATTGGTTAATTGCTACTGGTCAATTTTATGATCGTCCTAGATATTAATGTCACATACTCCAATGTTGTTTCTTATTAGTTGTCCTGACTATCAATGACACTTCAAATTTTGCTTCTTATTGGTCGTCTTAACTGTCAATGTCACAAACTTCGATGCTGTTTCCTATACGACCGAAATGTATAAATACGGATTATTCGTAAGGTTTTATGACCACGACCAGGACCAGGGCTAGGTCCCGGATCCCTAGTCCGGGATCCTAGTTCTATTCTTGATTCGGACCTCGTAATTTCTGGATGCTTGTAGAATACACGTTCTACTTCATATTCACATCTTATTTTTACTAAATATGGGGGTTGTAATAATCCGATTTGAGTAGCATGTTGTGTCACCGGATCCTCGATCCTCGCTCTCGTTTTCCGACTAGGTAAACTCGTAATAGTTCAAGCATATCAAGTTGACGTGTTTACGTGTAGGTGTAACAGTTTCCTACATTGCTGGTATTGTCAACATTAACTTGTGAAGTATAGTATTGTTGGAAAGTAAGTTTGAATGACTACATTGGATCGCTTACTTTCAATCCAACTTGATGAAACTTCACTATGATATAGAAAGTGTTGAATTAAGAGATAGCTACTAGTTGAAAATTTACTTTTCGGTCTATTGTATAGAAAATTGTATAGAACATTATTGAGAGATAACTAGAACTGGTGAAGTTTATTTATTAGTAGTATACTACGAACGTTTTACATAATATACTGGTATAATGTTTTCTTAAAACAACTACTATTATCAATAACCTGTAAGATTGTTTAAGTTAATTAGTTGGATCATATAAAACTTCTTCTATCAGATAATAATAGTATAGTAATAACCATCAAAATCTAGGCTTTGTGTATTTTCAATAAAACGACAAATAATTGTATAACCACTCATTGGAACAGTTATAATATATTGTTCAATGTTCAGCAAAGATACAGTGAATGGCATTACATCATCGTATACAATAATGAAGTTAACAATAATTTCCATTTCATATAATTTGGAGATAATTATTTTAAAATTTATAATTTTTTATCACACAAAATTAATTTTATATCTTATTATTATTATTATTATTATTATCATTATTATTATATAAATATAGATTCCAATAAAATCAATGTTAACATCACTTCCTGTTTGGGCATTCATTGTTGTAAATATTGGCATAGATTGGAATTTATATACCTTTTTAACTAGTGTGCCAACATACATGCGAGAAGTGTTACACTTTGATTTTCAACGAGTACGTTTTTTTTTATTTTACTGACTGAAAAGATCACTTATGTTACTCATTGATGAATTTATAAACTATCTCTCTGTGTTTTTATTTAAGTAAGTAATGTTGTTGATGCTGACCCCTATAATCTCAAGATTGAATACATCAGATAATTGACTTCGACTTGTTGCCTGATTTGAATAGACTTAATCATATTAAGAGTTTAGGAATTTCAGTTACATATCACTACATTGCTGCAATTCTGTGATTGTGACAACTATAGTGCAATGGATAGCTGTTTTATTCTAGTACGGAACTCTATAGTGCATATATGAAACCACATTGAGTGATTTTGAACTCTGGAACATTTGATCTTCTTGTATGCTCATAACCATTAAATAAAACTAGAAAGAAGAATATGAAAACAGTAAAAATCAAACTTTTACAAATATATAATAAAATCAGTTGCTAATTAAATGCAACAGTTGAATAGATAACGAATACATTGTGGTTTGAAGTGAACAGTACTGGATTATAGTCTCAATGGGGAACATTAACAATGAAATGAAAGTTAAATAATACAGCTGATATGTCATGGAATAAAAACATTTTTTTTTATTAATTCCATGACTAGCCAATATCAAACTTAACTTAAACATGTACTACTCGTAATGGCACGAAGATGTACAATAGTCAAAACAAACTGATCAAACGTCAGTCCAAACACAGTAATAATCGAACGATCATAACATGATAAATAATTAATTTTTTCATTGACTTTTGCTGAAACGATTTACTAGTTGATTGATAAAAATAAATATTGTTTGAAACTATTAATTACTTTTATAAATTTTGATAAAACAGTATGACGATGTGATTCATGTGAAACGTATTGTGATTTAATTGAACTACATACATATATCGAATAATCTGGTGACATGTGTACTTGTCAATGAATTTGTTTTTTTATGAACATTAATAAAAGGTCAATTAAATGAAAGTTCATAGATAGACATAAGTTGATAATTGTAAATGAAGAAGAGACAACATTAATGTAAATATAGAAATGATAAGAAAGGGTAGGAAATCGTCACATTACCTTAGGATATAACAAAGCCATACAAAGGCTTAAAGATTACCATGGTAAATTCAAGGTTATGACAAATTGTTTCGATACACTTAAGGTGGATCTTAATTTACGAATAGTTAAAGCTACCATTAACCTTAAAATTTGTCCTTCAACATTTCAATACAATATTTTGAAGGCTGTTTTGATGTCGATCTTACGCTCTGTCTCAATTGTATTTTGCAATCGATCTTTTTTCCACATTTATGGGCTCATCTGAAGTCAACTGATTTTGTTCCATAACCCTCGATTGTAAATTCCGATTAAGCCTCCCTATGTATGTGTGTCCATACAAACATGTAAATTGTTAATGCAATGGCATATGATGTAGGACGAATTTTAAGGTTAATGGTAGCTTTAACTATTCGTAAATTAAGATCCACCTTAAGTGTATCGAAACAATTTGTCATAACCTTGAATTTACCATGGTAATCTTTAAGCCTTTGTATGGCTTTGTTATATCCTAAGGTAATGTGACGATTTCCTACCCTTTCTTATCATTTCTATATTTACATTAATGTTCTCTCTTCTTCATTTACAATTATCATCTTATGTCTATCTATGAACTTTCATTTAATTGACCTTTTATTAATGTTCATAAAAAAAACAAATTCATTGACAAGTACACATGTCACCAGATTATTCGATATGTGTATGTAGTTCAATTAAATCACAATACGTTTCACATGAATCACATCGTCACACTGTTTTATCAAAACGTTAATTACCTTTAAGAATCGATTTATTGTAATGAACGAAAAATGACCAATTAATGTGACAGAGATTATCTAACAATCTTTCATCAAATTATAATCTGTTTTATTCAATAAAACGTTTCCGATCAATATGATAATCTTATGAATGTTTCTTTTGTCATTCAAAACAACAACTTAATTATGTCATTTATTTAACTGGTGGTTACGAATTATGTGTTGTTAAGTTTTATGCTACTGTACACCTCCAGTAATATATATACATATATATTTTCTCCTAAGATATACCCGTGAATTTATCACAACACAATACACTTTTCGCATAAATTCGAATAACAATGGAGAAATTCCTTTTAAGATTATTCTTATCTAAGATTTATTCTAAGATCATGTCATCAGACGATGTCACCTAAATAGTTTATTCTCATTACATGAGTTGAACTTGTTGATGCTTGCAAGAATGAATCATCATCAGTTAGTTAATTCTTCAAACACATGGGATATTTTCACAAGCTGTTTACAATAATCATGTGTGATTGTAAATGCTTTAAATTCTAAACCATGAAATGTGAGTTGCGTTTACTACAAAACTACCAGTTGCTCAAAACTGATTTATAACCTTTTGGAAATGTAACAATTTAACTTGTGAACTGTTCAACTTGCCATATAAGTTAGATTTATTTTCGAAAGCTTTAAACAGTTTGGCATGTGTTTGAAATTTATAAACGGAGGTCGGCTCCAACGTTTATTTATATCAGGCACAGAGTATCTGATGTAGCTGTACAGTTTGTTCGAAATATGTTAAGTTGACACAAACCAAAAACAATAAATATCATTGATACTCTAACACCTTTCTAATATTTAATTCTCTACCTAATATATTCAGTAGTTGCAGTTAATAGATAAGAAATCTTTAGACCTATATGTCTTGTACTAGTTGACTATTCTCAGTTGGGCAGTATAGTTGTAATTGTTGAAGAACAAATTCTCTGTGAGAGATTTAAACATTTATCTTTCATCTTCACAGTTTAAAATGTTATCACTAATCTACTTGGCCTGTGACTTAACTTTTCGATATGATTAAGATATTTACAATCAGAAGATAACTGCTTAATTGATCAATGAGATATTTTTGTGTTGACTCTTTCCTAACTAGACACAAGTTTACTATTCAATTGCATACATATTTCGAACAATCTGGTCACACACATGCACACTTCTCAAGTCATTTTAAATGAAGAGTAATAAAATGTCAATTAAGTAAAAGTTCAAAATAAACATGTGATAAATGTGAATAAGAGAGGAAGAAAATTAACGTAATATACATATTAAGAATAAGAAAGGGTAGGAAAATTGTCATATTACCGTAGGCTTAAAAATTACCATGGTAAATTCAAGGTTTTCAATGATAATCAGTTTAACAGAGTTGTATGTTTTCTCTATGGCTGCTTTCAGTCGCTCTCTTAAGATTAGACCATTTATTTCACCTCTGAATGGTAAAGTGATATAAACCTTTTCCTTCTCAGAATTATGAAATAGTTTCATTGGTTCACTTGAAAATTAAGTTTAAGAATTTCTAGTAGAAATTATTTAAAAACGAACAGTTAATCTGCCTATAGAGTAACACAGATATAAACGAACAATATAGTTGCTGTCAATTAGATCATCATCACGTTTTTACTCTTTCATATTTACATGAATATATTTATATATGAAAAAGGTTCTAACCAATCAAGGCAATTTATGCGTGAATAATCACAATGAAATGAAATAGAGAATACGTCACTACACATCATAGGCCAAATTGATAGTTGATAGTAGGATGACAGAGGTGAACTTACAGTAGAGGTAAGAAAAATAAAATACAATAACAACAGTTTGTTGTCAATAGTAGGTCAAACCGTGGATAAATAGACTTAAAATAATCATCACCAAAACAATAAAACCATTACGTAATACGAGGTGTGTACATAATTAGATAGTGAAGAATATGAACGGAAAGATGAAGAAAATTACCAACAAATACAGGATGTGAAAGTGATGCTAATACTAACAAAATAAAATTAAGAAAAGATTTTCAACGTTGGTTACATCATATCCGGCCATGGAAGAGATAGGGTTGTTACAAATTCCTTCTGAACACATAAATTGGGTTTGAATGTACGAATTCCTATGGCTTCTGCTATATGTAGGCGATGGTATGCAACCCCATTGGGAAATGATGCAGTTGTTATACGATAGATCACCTGAAAAGATCTAGACTTATCTACAATATGACCATTATCAATTAGACGTCCTACAAAAGAACTGTGCATTGTTTCCAACCGGCCCTTTTTAAACCATGCTGGGAGATATTCACTTATCGAAAACTATATTGTTCGCTTATATATGTTGTTTTACTTTTCACAATGGAAATCTCTTTACTCATTAAAATATTTTTCAAATTTCTAATAGTGAAAGTTTGATTTATAGAAATAAGAATTTCTAGGAATAATCTGTTTATCACATTATAACAATTATTTGTTGTGTTTATTAGGCTTTCATTTTTCATGGTAATGAAGATACAATCGAAGTAGAGAATCATTTATTTGTCATCGGATAAAATTCTCTAAACACAAAGTTCAATATTCATTTTTCTATTGATAACAGTTCACTTTTTTTCGGTCATCTGTTCAATTGTAATTTAGTCTGCATTACGGTGTTGTGAAGATTGTTAAGTTACACATTTTTGAAACCATGAGTCTATCAACCTGGAAGCATTGGACGACCGTTTCGTCCTGGTATGGGACTCCTCAGCAGCCATAAATTACCATGAAAATTGATTGATTCATTTGATTGTTCAACTCACTTCTAACATTTTATCAAATAATCATTGCTGTTATAGTAAATGTTTGTTTTTTTTTCAAATGCTTTGACTAATTGATTAATAATTGTGTTGCAGAATGCTCTATTATCTTCTCTACCGTATATCGGTATGTGGATAGGTCAACTATTATTTGGTTGGTTATCAGATATCTTCTTGACTCGACGAATTCTAACTTTGAGTGTTGTTCGTAAACTAATGAATAGTGTAGGTAAGCACATGTAATTTTACATGCTTACAAGTGTTTCATTTTATTAACAAAACAAAAAACAAACAAAATATTGAATATTTACTAATAATGACATCGTAATTTTATTTGTAAACACAATAATAATAATAATAATAATAATAATAATCTAAAATGAGACGATGATTAAAATTGAACAAGTACGTAACATGAAATTATTTTCATGTTATGTACATTTCCATTTTTAAACATTAATTCCTATTCGATCAGTTAGGTCATCTGTGAAGTCGAAATAATCAAGCTTCATATGATCTGTACACTACTGTATTCCATGCTTCCATTAAGTTGTCGTTGTCATCATAATTCGTCTAATCACCCTAACAAATAGAAGGGATGAGATGAGCAAACAACTTTGTATGACACCAGTTTTCACTTGGAATGAGTCTGTGAACAGTTCTCTATGCACATTTTTCCACTTCAATCGATCGTGATAATTGCGTATGATGCTGACTAGTGGTCAAAGAAGCTTCCATAGTGTCATCCTGTTGAATGCTTCTTTGTAGTCAAGGAAGCGTCATCACTCATCCAAATGAACAACTTCCACCACCTAGCTTAGATTGTAAATGTTTTGAAATAATTGTTCTGGTTAGCGTTCTTTTAGTGAGTTGGTTTTCCATGACATTGTCTTGCTAACCCTCCTCTTTAATCTAGTCTTGAGACCAGCAGTAACCGTAGAAGAGTGCAAGGCGGAGAGTGATATTTTTATATCATTATTTATGTATATTAGAATAAATCTTGATGAAAGTAATATTGTTCGCTTATATCTGTGCGGTAAACGCAGGGAGGTTTTCTGCTCTGATATGCGGTATTTATTCATCATGAACTTTCTGATAAGCTTCATTTTTATCATCTTTATCACTAATACAAGGATAATATTTCATGAGTTTCTGTAAATCTTCCACCGCCCGCCCCAACACATGTATTGCTAAAGTGTAATATATATATATGTCTTGGTTACTTTATTTTTTTAAAATAAACTTTATTTTCTTTTAGGTATGTTTGGACCAGCTATTCTTATGATCTTGATTACATTGTTTGATTGTCATAATAAATATGCAGTTGTAATCCTATTGACATTTGGATTGTTTCTTAGTTCTGGTGTTTTCTCTGGTGGAATGCTTAGTCCAATTGAAATTACACCAAAATATTCTGGTTTATTATTTTCTATTTCTAATTCAATTGGTGCATTGACAGGATTTTTGAGTCCAATTGTAGCAAATGCTTTAACATCAAATGTAAGTTAAAAACAACGTAATAACTTTAAGGCAAAATGTTCATTTAGCAAATTATTCAAAGATATTGGAAAGTATCGTTAAGAATTTGAATAAAATGAATTTGTTTTAATGATTTATAGTAAGATAGATTGTTTGAAAATTATAGTATATGTGAAAATGAAATGAAATTGCTGCTAATCGAAATGATTTCATGTACACTATAAACTAGAATAAATTTATATTCAATCAATTGAACATATAATATCAACTATCAAAATAAATATAGATCAGATAGATTGAAAGAAATCATAAAACACTTTTCATGATAGAATTATGGAGATTGTTGAATTCCATTGAAATCATGAATTGATCATTGTCAGATTATCATTAGAAATATAGAAGCATTGGATGGCCAATTTGTCCAATTGTAGGACTCATTAACAGTGCATATCGATCAGCACTAATCCCGTGAATTCAACACAGGATCTTTAGCTTCGCACACTAACGCTTAACCTGTAGTTAATGTACATAACTTTGCTACATCGAAGCTATTGAGCTATCCCACCCATTGTCTTCGGTAATTATATGCCATCAACATAAAGGTTTTATATTGTTTTTATTATCTGAACTAATTCTGCACAATTTTTTTCTTATTTAAACACAATAATCTAGAAATATGTTGAAATAAAACCAGATCCATGGAGAAATTTAAATTATTTGTCTTCTTGTTTTTTTTTTCAAGAAAACTTATACAGAATGGCGTTATGTATTTTATTTAGGTTCTGTAATATTTATCATTGCTGGTTTCTTCTTTCTTCTATTCTCATCATTCAATGTACAATTATGGGCTATAGAAATTGTCAATCATGATAAAGATAATCATTACTGCCTTACAAATAAAACATTCTCACATAAAATATCCTTATCAAATGAACAGCATCAAGTAGTCAGTCAATAAACCATGAAAACTAACTGATCAACGCAAAATAATTTGATCAAGTTTACAAATCTAATGAAATGTTGTTAATGAATAATGAATAAATAAAAAAATTTACAATTCAATTGTTGTTCCATTATTTTTTCTCTGACAAATAACTATTTATAAATACTTTTTCTTTTTTTGATATCAAACTAATAGTTCCATAATAATTGTATTAGTCATTAACACTTCAACTTAATGTATACTTGTCTATTTGTCTTATCTAAATGCTCAATCACCGACTAATTTGATGGACGGTGTTGTCTGATATAGGCGAAGGCTGGGAAAAAACTATCGATGACGACGAAAGAAGAATTGGAAGCAGACATGAAAAGGATAAGTAGCAAATGGATAGAACTTGAAAGAAAGACCTAGGATAGAGTAGATTGGAGAATGCTGTTCATGGGTCTATGCTCCATCAAGGATAACAGGCGTAAGTAAGCAATCCAGTTAGAAGTAAGAAATAACTAGTTGTACTGTGAAGTTCACGCATATAAACATTGATCTACCTCTAGGTATTCATAATGTCTATTTGATTGAAACAGCATTTTAGTGTTCATCTATTTCAGATTCGTCTGTTATAGTCTATGGTTATGGTGAGGCTTGAATGATCAATACATAAAATCTCGATGCATTTTTTTTATATTCCTCATCTTGGAAATTTTTCTACAATTGCTTGAACTCCATTTCAGTTATATTTTTTTTCTAAATAATTTTGCAGATTTTAGCTATAAATAATGAATTACCATGATTTTGTTTGCAATTGAGAAATCTGTTGAACCACTGGTAAATTGGATGATATTTTAATCAGTATTTAGTAACATTGTATTTGTATGACTTATTTTATCATAATACTTAAAACAAATCAAGAGAAGTTCATTTTTTATTCACTACCTATTGAATTTAGTTTGGACATTCGATTAGGCTCTACATACGAATGTTTTCGTTTGATTGGTTTGTAAACAATGTTCATCATTTATCTGACATCGAACAGCATGCATTTATATGTATACATTGTTCCTGTTTTCTTACTTGTTTTCCAGTTTATTGATAATATTAACTGTTCTGCAGAGTTAAATGATCAGTAATAAACAACTTACCAACATTATTCAAATTCTGGCTTGTCGATAATCTCACAAGAAAATGCAATAACATATATGGAATATTACACACATAAAAAAAAAATAGATACGTCATTAAAAATGGTAGGTAAAATATGACCAAATCAAGTTAAATAAAACATTTTTATGATAAAATAATTTTCATTTGACAAGAAAAAGAATAATTCTGATTTCTAAATGTCATTGATGAATCTGCAAACTGAACAAAACATTGAATCTATGCATCAAGTTTAAAACTAACTAAATTCTGTTTCATAGTCGAGTACAAAATCAATAGCAAACAGATGGTAGTTCGTTAGCTTAACAATATAGAGGATCTTTGTTGTGATCGTACGCCAATTATAAGTGCAAACTAAGGTCTAGTTCATGTGACATTTCCTAATACTATAGCATTTCTGGAAATTAGTCTATTCGAAATAAACCTACTTATAGAGAAAAAGAGATTACAGGTATGACGAATAAGCTGATGCTAGATTCCGTAATAGTTCAATAAGTCAGCCTGTCTTATATCAATGTCTCTAATATGAACAATGTAGTACATTGTAGTGTCGAATCAGAATACATGGCGAGATCAAAGTCTTTTACTTTACTTTATTGAACTGAAAGATTTAACCTACTTTCAAGAGCGATGGCACTCAACATTGCTTCAGTTTTTGTCATACCAACAGATAGTCAGTCACATTGGAATCAATATATTTCTAATCTGTAAAACAAACATCAGACTCATTTATTGTATACCTGTTGGTCTTTTCTGCCTAAACTTGATCTCATGCAAACAATTCATCAAGCGAAGAGTAAGCAGTGACAAAATATTGTAATCACAAAAGAAACTAAAAACACATTATCAATCTATTGATAAAAATCAGAAAAACAAGGTGAAAAGACAGGATACAAAATAACAATAAATAAACGACACGAATAGAAGTTTCTTTTCTAAAAAAAGTAAATAATTAGTATGTGCAGATTTATACAAACGATAACACATGAAATACAATGTTGTATTGTGGGTTGAGATCAACCGTAAAATTATACAAAGAATGAATATATACATATCACATGAACACCAATAGGAGAATATGTATAAATATTGGACTACGGTGAAGCCACCAAAGTCAACGCTGGACACAATAAATGACACCACTTTTAGGTAGGCCTCAACTTCACTTATAAGCAACGAATACTTTTCGTTGAGAATAAACTATAAGGAAGTATGTCAACAGAACATAGAAGAGAGGAACAACGATGAAGGATCCAATTTTTTCTGACGTAGAAAACACTATTATTTATTATTATCAAGAACAAATTCAGATCGATTTGTATGTGCACCGATCATAGGAGCACTCATCAACCTTGAAGTAAATTTAAATGCTGGTGCCATGACTTTGCGACCGGTATTCAATTTTTCAACGTCTGCATAACCATTCCAATGATTACCAAGAAATTGAACTAAATCACCACGAGATAAATCGGTTTCAATATTTGATATTACTACCTCATATGGTGCAAGTTGTTGTCCAACAAAATGATACACATCATCTAATGAACGAAATTGTTGACTTGCATCACCGAATTCTAAATGATTAGATTGCATCAATTCGTAAGCTAATCGACAAACCTGTCACGAGGAACACCGGAGGAGAATAAAATAAAGCAAGCTTGAAACCGAATTATTAACATAAATGAGTTATGTGAGAGTACAGTAACAAAGACAACCGATCATACTACTTACAAAATGATGATTAGTAGTAAAATTTCTCATAGCACTTTCATTTTGCAACTTATCTCGAGTGTTTCGTTGTCAGAATTCTCTCACAAAACGACTACTGGTTCGTCATCAGTCATGACTTTCGTGAAGACAACTTACGAACCAACTGTAAATAATCAGTTCGCTCTTTCTATATACAAATCTTGATTAGTCAGAATATCTTCAGTTACTTTCATCAATAAAAATTTTCGATAGAACTTCAATGCTATAAAATCCAATCAGTCAACCATGATCAACTTATGACCAAGTGTGAATTTCGTTCAAATTAATGATGATTTATACCAACCAACAAACAAACAAATGGTAACGATAAGATAAACAATGATAGATAACTAATTAGGCCGTTTACATGTCACTGTGAAACAAAATACAAACATCTTCAACTTACATTAGAAGTAAAAGTACAAACTAGAAAATTGGTTTTTGATAGCAATAATATGTCAGTGACTATGCCGATAATAGAATCATTATTTAATCGGTTGGAGATAGCAGCTGAATCAGCACGTCTACGATCACCATAAAATGTATAATTAGGATATTTCAATCTGGCTTCATCGAATAAACTAGGTTCATCAGTAGCTAAATACACACGTCGTTTTACTGGTTTCAATTGATGTTGTACATTGTGATGAATCGGTGATTTAATGTCGCTTTTCCATTCCTAATCAAGATAAGAAAAGCTAGTGATTTTGTACATAGATTACATAAACGAAAGATTCTTTATTAAAAATAAAGAGTCAACTAGCACAATGGGAAAATTGCTTATTTCAGCAGTGTATAGACGAAGTTATTAATTTTGAGGCAAACTTTATATGGTAGTCATATATGTCAAGGAGTTTCTGCACCCCTCAAAACAAATTGACCATCATATGTCATACACACCGTACATCAATAATAATCAGTGATTGCATTAAGTAATTACATCCATGTATTAGCTTCGTACTTTTTTAACGTGTTATACTTCCATTTCAAACAGAGGTAATTGTATTTTCTATTTGTTGAGCCACAATGGTATATAAACAATATTGTTTTTAACTAGATTATCACTATATTAGTAATAGCTAATATGTAGTAGTGGAATTTTCTAAATAAATGAGAAACACAAGTTCTCAACAGCAACAAATAAGCCAATTCAATTGAATGATTTTTCGTAAGTAGGAACATAGAAAACCATATCAAGGTTGAACATAATAATTGTGTAAAGACTAGCTGATAAAAAAACCAATAGGTCATAATCTTCATTTGAAATGATCACAGTTAGTTTATGAATTGAATAACTGTCATAAATCTCTCTTAGTAAACCCAGCTATGTCTACTGCTTAGTATCCTCTGACAACAATACACTCGACAAGTCCCCAAATCAGAACACGGAAGAACAGGAAAAGATTATATTCCGAAATGCAAGGTCAAGTGGAAGTAAGAAGCCGAAGCGGAGGCGAAATAGAAACAACGTTAGTATCTTTATAGTATTTTCATAAGAAGCTTCTCGAATCTAATCCACGTGATTGACTGGCGCTGACCGGACTAGATCTAGCCAATCAGCATTCAGCTAATAACACGAGAATCAATCTCCCAGTATCGATCAGGCGCCCATTGAACAGAGATTAGCCAATCAGCGCGCAGCTAACGCAGTCATGCTTTAATCCATCTCTATGTCACACTAACAATAACATTGTTGTGATGTTCCAATTCAATACGATGAGATGAATGGTTGACTGATTCATTACCTACCTCAAGAGGAACATTCCGTACCATTGAATCACAGATCTAACCTACTACTTAGTCAATCTCATGAGATATTTTCACACACGAAATAACCAGTAGACAATATGAAGTCATTGATTGTTGGATCTAGTTACGACTGAACAACAGCCATTATACACATGACAAGCCAGGCTCAAAAACTTACTTCAGTTCTAGACATCATTTGACGTTCGGCATCTATGAATTGGAAATAATTTTCAACTTCAGTGATGTATTCTTCTAAACTGTGAAAACGTGCTTCCCATATTAGCTAAACTCGGAAAAGAAAAGAGATTCAAGTGAAATAGTTCATCTACATTCACATAAATCATGAATGAATTTAAACCAACCCTTTCGAAGTGCATTTTACTATTCATTAAAGTTTACACAAAATAACTCATTCAGGATTAGTAATGAATACTTGTCAATAACATCCAATCACTTCATACTACAACCAAAAGATATGAACACAACATGCAACATGATTTCAGCGTACATCAGTTCACGTTCCTCTGTACCATCGGCACTGGAATACAAACTTATTTCAACAGAAATCTTACAGTATTAGAAGTAATAACAAAATCTGTTATTAATAAATACAATTACAAGAAGCAAACAAGAAGTGATGAGGCTTGACATCATTGTACACATTTTACGACCATGACAATTTACAACCATTAGTTAATATCATCTCATCAAAACAACCGATTACTCTATTAACATAATTGTATATACTAACATATAGTGATTGCGAAAAAACGCCTAATCAATATGGTTCCCTTTATCACCTTGAAGAGAGCAAGTTGAAACAGTTGAGCAAAATAAAATGCGTTCATTTCATTTTGGTCGCTACTTGTCAGCTGCTTACATCATGAAAAGTGTTTAGTTGCAAGTTGATATGATCATACATCGGTATAGTATAGCAGAGTGTAAATGATTCGTACAATAAACTGAATAAAAGATTTCAAATATAAATGCTCTATGCAGAAGAACGTTCTACAACATTAATAATTACACAAGTTCAATGGACTGGTTACTCAATGAATTTGATCATGCAAAATAAGAATATTATTATGACAAACGGGAAGAAAGATTCGTACAATAAACAAGGGTGGCATTTTCGTCAACAAGGATTTTATGTCGAAAGATATTATGAACGTTATAGCCACATTCATTCACTTTAGTCTGTCAGTGCATTCAGCTGCATCTCTTATTGTTTATGCTGCTAATCTCTGATAGATTGGTTTTAACGTTTATTTTTCACAAGTTCAGTGTACATGCTCTTGATTCATCTTATGTGAAAACACTTCGATCCTTGTTGCGCTTTTCTATCTCAGCCGGAATTTGAAGAATAATTTCATCTTTGTGATACAATCAGTGCTGTTCACGATGATTCAAATATCTTTAAACTACGTACAAGAATCTGTAGATGGATGTGAGTTGTACTAAAGTTTTATTCAATAATATAAGTAATTTATTCATATATCCAATCAGTCAATAATCAAACTCGATCAAATTACTTTCAGTAAAACAAAATGAACAACTGTTCAATAAGAATAAATAAAACTCACTTTATCCGTACGTCGAATATGAACACCAACAATCGGATTCTCAGTTTGATCAGTGAGTATTTTAGATGCTTCACTTAGATCAAATGCCGGACGCATTAAAAATTTAGCCAATTGACCAATGAACCAAATAAATGGGGCACCATGTAAATGTGAAAGTACTTTGCTCAAATGACTGGGAACAGCCGGAGGCATCCAATCGAATGGAGGATTACTTGAATCGAAGTTTGGACACCCAACCGATTGATAAGTATCAAGAGATTTTTTATCAAAAGCTACAAATGAGAACAGTTAAAATTTGGTGTGAACACTTTCCATGTGTTCGAATTATGGAACAGTCATACCTATTAGTTGATCTCACTAGTAATAGAGAACCCAGTTTGACAAGCAATTAATATCTATTTCTATTAGGATCAACAAACATCACACATACACACCGATATTGTAAGATTATAGGATACAGAGATGAGAAGTTATGTTTTGGATTCAGTGTTGTTAGATCGTATGTAGTATTACTACAGTTAATCATAAAATAATCGCATTTGCTTTTTTATTTCCACAATCAATGGAGTATCAAGCTCCGACAAATTCAAATTCAGATACCTTTAAATATGCAGAAAAACAAAGAGCAACAGATTGTTCAGTAAACATTACCACTAACTGAAATTTATCCACATTTCTGTTAAATTGTATACAGTCCTCCTACACAATAAGTCCCCGGTATAGAGCTAAACAGATCCTGTTACTTCTCACCAGTTTTATGTTATCAATGTTCAGAATGATTATCTGTTATTGAGTAATCAGTATCAGACTTCAACACTTTGAAATCAATACCTAATGTTCATCACACCATCAGTAACCAAAGTGCGGACGACAGAAACATCTGATCATTGAAAACGCATTTTTAAAATCGGACAATAATTTGGCTAGAATCAGAGCAAACATATAAACACAAAATAATAGAACTGAAAACTAGAAAGTACACGTAGTGCGTGTATGTATATGTCGAACCTACAAGCCTTGCCTCAGCCTTTTGACAACTTAACCAATCCATCCTAGGCGAGTTGTTCACACGTAGTTCGACCTTGTCAATTATTTGCATATTACCTTGGTTGTTTTAATTCAAATGTGTGCGTACGTGTATGCTCAATTCGCTTATTACATGTCTACTCTATTTTGTCTAACTGTAAATACTTAGTCATTCCTGAGTGTATTGAGCTGGATAGTCCACCTTCTCCACTTCAATTTGCTCTGCTTCCACGCTTTGCAATCTTTTGTCTGTCTGCTTAAATGAATGCATGAAGTAAATTCATCCATAAAACCATATTCACCTTCTTATAACCGCCGTCGCACAAACGGGGGTTCTCCGAAGTATGATATACAGGAACAGAAGAGAGCATTCATTTCGCAGCATACTCGATCGTTCGACCAAACTTGAATCAGATCGTGAGCTACTAAAGTGGTGAGCCGTACGTCCAATCTAATGAAGCTCAATAACTACAACAATCTAAAGACATCATGATGTCTTCTGCGTCATGGGATCCAATATTGTTATTATATTATATAAATTTACCCTGTAATGTCTAGGGCAATTTTACATTGGTTTTCAGGAGAACCAAAGAGACTAGACACGTTTCACCATTACTACATGAACAGTTCGGTTCAATCCTGTGGTGCAACCACACAGGTACCTGATACCCATGGTGGACCATTCACACCATTTCATATACACACAATGGTACATATATTTCCGATCAATGATCGCGTCAATCAATATGCACTGCATGAACAGGCCATTTCGACCCATCCCGCTTACATGACTGTCAAACTCATTATTATTAGCAATGGTGATATGTAATACAGCACCCCGATGACAATGGCCCTCGGAAATGTCGCAAAACAACCACCTATATCAATGAAATCGATCACCCTGCTAACCAATTTTATATATGGACTGTTAACAATGCTTACCAAAGCAAAGCCAAGCCATCCACAATATACACAGCGAACCTCTAGTCTCATAGGAGACCTTCAGCTCTATATAGCAGTATGGCATATGGTGTACACATATATGGCGCAGGATAGTAGAAGAGGCAGCGCAGCTTGATGCAAATAGACCCAAACTCTTCTATTACCCTTTGTCTCATGTCGGGCAATGATTTTTTCGCGTTTCCGAAATTTTCATTTGTCGACCATATGAGACCTGAGTTAGGGGTAGTATCCCTATAATACATGGCGAGTAAGAGCATGTGCAGGTCGCGAAACATAAATGCCAGTACACACAAACATGTTATGTACCAATCGATAGATAATAATTAGAGAAATTATGGTGAAACGATGAATATTATTTTAAGAAGTACTTACAATCAGAATGGTTATTTGACTGAATGTCAGTTATATTGCATTTCTGAGATAATGGTAGGAAATTTTTCATCCACCATTGTGTATATGGTTCACTAACTGCAGAATTCAAGATTAATGTACGTCCAGTTGCATAGGCCATATGAAAACAACGCATCAAATAATGTGCATTACAACCAAATCCACAAGGTAACGTGAACCATGCAACAATGAATTTGGCTTTTTTACAATCTGGAGGATTCTATTCAAAAAACAACAACAATTACAAAATCAACGAAATCAAATATTACTGTCAGGAATCTTCTATGCAGATTCGAATTTACCATAGTTTACTAGATGTAATATAATCATTAACACAAATGATAATTGCGACAGGTGGCTGAATGAAAAAGCAGCATCGTTTCATGAAGTGACTGACTACCGGAATGATTCACTTTGACAGGCACTGATAATCTGGTTGAGAAACTCATGACAACCACCGTCAATGGTTGGAGATGTTGACATATATGGCTTAGAACCATTCAGAACGGTACAGATATATTCACTTTTGCTTTTTCTTTAGATTGTGAATCTATAACTCTTCTCAAACTCCTTCTTCGTCTTAGAGATCTCAATGTGTGATTTTCATTCTCTTCCTACAACAATTAATCTTACTAATACTACTACTACATATACTACTACTACTACTACTACTACTACTACTACTACTACTACTACTACTACTATTACTACTACTACTATTACTATTACTACTGCTAATACCACTGACACTGCTACTTCTACTATTACAATACAGCCATAATTTCGTTTCGTTTTGATAATTCGGTGAATATATATTCGAGGTTCTACGTTGCATATGACTCATTATTCAACGACATGAAACTTTAGTAATGAATAGTCAAAGAGGAGACGAATTTATTGGAGTACCATTCACATTGAATGAATTTAGGCATTAAATAAGTGACTGAAATGTACGGAGTGGAAAGTAGTTATATATGAAGGAATGTAGTTATATAATATACAGAAGAAGATAAAGAGAAAGTGTATCTTAGTGAGTTTTGATGACTCTTCAACATGTCGAAGTAAGCAGATAGCAGACTATACGCTTCAACCATTTCAGGGAATGCACACACACAGAATCATCAACAGATTTGATATACAGTTGCGTAGTGCCTAAAGTATAAACTCAGCATTGTTTACTCGGTCTCACGATAAACAAGCAATACTTTGAATTCACCTATGATGACAGTGCACACGTGGCCAATTTCGTAGTCAATGTCTAGAAAGTGTATCCGCATCAACGGTTTAAAGACATTCACATTTCATACACAACTCCCTGACTACCACACAAGTGAATGGAATCAGTCAACAGATTTCACGAAAGACCAACGAATGAAATTAAAGTTTAAGCCATTGCTCCATTTCGCAAGAACACCAGTGAGCTGGGATGATCAGAGTGACAGAAGTGGAGCTCTTCACAATCTACATCTCTTAACTGATCAGACAAAATCAACAACGTTTTAAAAGTTACCAAACAGGCATTGAATACAGATAACATACTTTACATCAAAGAAACATGTTAACTGGTGGATTCATTACATACACTCATGAGTTCACAATTTCCAACAACACAAGGTAACGACTGTTGTGTAACCGTCATCAACAACTTTCTTATTAACAGGCTATTAGTTTACGCGTTAGTTTGGAGAATCACATTACACTTTCAAATCATGTTGCACAAATCAAAGATAAGCATCATTTCAATAGTTTTAATACAATCACCATACCTTGAACAGCCCACTATCACAGTCATAAACATCCTTGAGATATAAAACTAACAAGATCATACAACATATAACTAACTTGTAACTTGAATAATTCATTCTGAAGTTCATTTGATAAAATATCCAGATACTTTATTCGTGATTCCAACATACCGTCAACTCGTCCAATTCCATCAATATTAACTTGTAAATGTGTAGACATTTCATGTAAATGACGTTTTAACTGTTCCACTGAGAGTTTTATTTCTTCCAATGGTTTTAGCGAAGAGCAGTTTTTGATATCATTCATTTTCTCATTTACATTATCAAGTTGAACAAGACTATACTTGACTTCACGAACATACTGTAAAGCACGACGACGTAAAATCTCAGATGACATACCACGTATGCCTACGACGAAAGTGAATAAATAAATACACTGATAAGAACAAACACTTTAAAAACTACTAAACGAATGATGAATTATTCTTATTTTATTGATGTTTGCCACTTTTCTAACACAGAAAAAGTAAAAAAAGGTGACTGTTCTCGGTGATCATTCTTTCAATCCCACAGTGGTCACACAGCAGTTGTGGGTAACATGAATAATAGTTTAGGCTTGTTCAATTTTTCTGTACAGTCAGTCAGTCAGTTGCAACGTAGAACTTCGTACGTAAGTACATCAGTTCATGTCGCCATACCACATCAGCACAGAGATGTAATTGTCAATTCAAATCCAATAGAAGAAGAGTTATTAAGGGTATTAAAAGTAATCGGAGAGGTTAGAATGACAAGATATTATTCAAGAAGCATGATTAAATGAGAAAAGTTTAGAAAGTCAAAACTAGAGGTGTTGAAGAATCCAGAAGATTAGGATTTGAGAGAACACAAAGAATAAATGCACTGGCGCCATTGCGAACGATTTTGAGACATGTCATTCAAGGTCTCCAACCATCGATTATTATCATCTCGCGGACCTCAACCAGGTAGTCGACAACTACCGACATGGCTAAGTTCACCCGTTAATGACTTCATAGATTTCTGCCATGTTTTGGTTTGGCTGTTCCTAACTTTCTTCCAACCTATTCCTACACTACAAAACAAAGCTCGACGAGGCAGTTGGTGGTTGGGCATACGCAATACATGTCCCAACCACCTCAACCGATGAAGTTTCACCACTTCATCGATTGATCTGTCATTCTTACCTAGCACCCGCAGCTCGCCCTCGCTTCAGATTTCCTAACGCTTTTTCAATTTCATTAAGACTAGGGGGGCTTACGTCGATTTGCCATTCAGGATGACTGGAGAGCGTGGGTAACCGAAGAGTGGCTCGAGGCCAGTTGAACTGAACCCTGAAGTGTTCTGCCCATTGATCCAGTCTCTTGGATCAAGAATAAATAATAGTCCCGTCATTTTCTGACATAGTCTCACTTACACTAGGATTCCTAATACCAGTTTCCTTGATAAGTCGGAAAAGTTGTCTAGTGTTGCCTATCGCCGCTGCCTTTTCCATCGCTTTTGCTTTCGCCACCCACCACTGTTCGCGGTCGTTACGTAGGCTTTTTATAAGTCTGCGCCTAAGTTTACTTCGTTCTTCATCATGCTCAGAGCCAGGTGGGATGAGTTTTCGGGCATCCATCAGATCGGTGGATGCTGCTGAGATCCACGGTTTCATTCTAGCCTTATGGTCAACCTTATTGGCAGATATCACTGCTGTTTCCACAGCATTTTTGATATCATTCCATCCTGCTTCCGGATGGGAATCGCTTAAATGGTCGCCTAACTGTCTTTCCAGTTGTTCCTGAAATATATTTTTCGCCTTATTATCATTAAGTAAAACCCTAAGAGGCTTCCTTACGGTGTCTTTCCTACGCCCAGTAAGCCTCAAACAAATACGCGCTCGCATTAGGGCATGATCTGAATCTAGACATGTGCTCCAGAACGAGCGACAGTCCTCTATCGAACCCCTCCATCGGTGGCTGATGGCGATGTGATCTAGTTGAGTCCAACGTTGAAACGACTTTGGAGGTCGCCAGGTCAAAAGATGTTTTCTCTTATGTTTAAAATTAGTGTTTGATAGAAATAGTTGGTTATCTGAGCACAGTTGCAACAGACGGTCGCCATTGTCTGTTCTCTGAGACGCGACACCATAACATCCACCTAGGTGTCTTTCATTTTCACTCAGTCTACCTACTTGAGCATTAAAGTCACCAGCCATTAATACCATATCAGAGCGCCTAGCTTTTTGGAGGAGGTCCGAAAGCTTTCTGTACAACTCATCTTTCACCTCGTCTGAACTGCAGTCAGTGGGGGCATAGGCAGATACGATGAAGAGGCAACGGCGAGTGTCCCTATCTTTCCGAGTCCTTACTGTACCGTTCAGTCGGACAGCGCACAAGCGACTATCTACTGGGATCCACTCAAGCAGAGATTGTTCAGCTCTACGACTCAATGCTATGCCTACGCCAGAAAGACCCCTGGGAGCAGCATCAGGGCTACCGGATACACGAAGAGTAAATCGACCTGCTTCTTTATTTTGACAAGGTGAAATCAGATTATTAATCTTACTAGGATCCTGTATGCGCGTTTCCGAGACGCAGCATACATCGATGGCACGAGATTCTGAAGTCCTAGCTAATGAAGCCTGTTGTCCTATTTGACACAATGTCCGTACATTAAATGCTCCAACATGTAGTCTAGAGCGGGGTTTAAGGAGACCAGGAACGACGTTTCGCGAACTCGTGTCGTCTGCATTAGCTGTGCACTGTAATAAATGAATGTGACAAGAGTTAGTCGTTGAGATAAGAGGGGTATTAGAGGGTGTAGGAAGGATTTGATTTTGAACAATTTGGTCTCGCGTGCTGTTACGGGTATGAGGGCGATTGTCACTTCCCGGCTGCCCACACCGTGGAAGGTTATTTCTTGAGGAACCTGAAAAGGAAAATAGATTAGTATTGGTCTTAGAGACCTGGGTGCGTGACCGCAGAGCCCAAGGGACAACTGCTTCAGGCCGGTCACGCGCGGCCTTTTTATGAAACGTTTTTTGAGGATTAGCTCCGTTCTTCTGTACAAGTTTAGCAGTAACGATTTTGTTACTTAACACAAAACTCTGAATTCACGTGTTATGATCTTTAAATGGTATAATTGTTTGAAACATGGCCAACTTATGCATTAGTGAATACGGATACACAATTGTAGTATCTGAATAGAATTTACTAGAGAGAATATTCTGTGTTCTTATAACGTTTGTTTGCACAAATCATATAAAATCCAACCGCAATTCACTAATAAATTTAATATGACAAACTGACACATTATACATTGAATGTTTCCAACAGACGAAGTATTTTCAGCTGATTTGATGGAAAGCTTTAAGAGCCCAATAAAAACAGTAGCCAGTAGATGGTTTAGCTATGCAATTAACAATTTGGAGTTTACAGTGCCCTACCTGGAAAATATTTGGTCACACACACATAAAAATTACCACATAAAACTTACCTCGGACAACAATGGTATTTCCAGCTTTATACCTATTGCAAAAAATGAAATTGATTGAAAAATTATAATGTTACTACTATTATTGATTACTTCAAAGTAAACTAATTCTTTACGGCTGACTAAGTGGTTTACCAAAGCTTCGTTGCATGTATCGTTAATATTTTGATCTTTGAAGAAATCCCTAAGACTTCTACCTAGTTAGGATTCGAGGTATATTTGAAGCAAATATTTGGGACACTGTGTCAGTTAAATTGATTTCACTGTCATTGTAAAAGGAGGACCTTTGTTCTACCATATAAACTGGGACAATCAGTGATTGAGACCAATCGAATGGGATTATATCCACTCATCAGGTGCCAGAAAACACCACCAACCATAAAAATTTCAGGCGTTAGTCAATCAAAACTTGATGCTCTTGCTCACTCAAGATTGACTATAGCCGTTCCAGCCAGGCTACGGGTTGAAAAACCTACATCGATTTGTCACTCTGATTGTTTGGAGATGGTGAGTGACTGAGGTATCATTTGAACTGATTTTAATGTGTCCTGTTAACCGGTCGAATCTCCTGGATTCAGAATGAAAACTAGTTTCATCTTCTTCCCTTTCTTTTCTGTTTTTGCTACACATTTTACGAGAGCAATGCTTCGAACACACCGATCGTCGAATACTGATGAATTGCAAATATCCCCAATTCCTACCAGTCATTTTTTCACAGCCATATATTAGGACATAACGAACTGCTGCGTAATACACTCATCCTTTGATTAGGAAATCAACATGGCACCCACACCACAAGTGATCCAGGCCATCAGCACTAATGAGACTTCCGAGATAAGTGAAGCCGTCAACATGCTCAACCGCTTCACTTACTATCAATCGTTCAGGTGCCCATGGAAGCCAAAACTGAAGTAGCATTTTGCATTCCAAGGCGGAAAACAGCATTCCGATCATGCATGCATTGTCGCTCACGGGTGGTCAGAAGACTCTGCATTTTGTCAGCGTCTTCAACAAATACAACTGTGCCATCCGCATATTCCAAGTCAACAAGAATGTCTCCTGGTGGAAGGTTCACCTCAGAAATGTCAGAAGAAGATAATGTTAACTACAAAAGTATGTCTGCGAAACAATGAAATAGGAATGGAGAAAGTGGACAGCATTATCATGAATAAACACGAAATACATAACTGTGAGGTAGATCCACTCACATGTCTGAATACAAATAACAAATCAACAGAAAATTGGTCACCTTTAAAAGCATTCTAACTTACTGAGCATCCACTTGTTTTTCCAAACCAGTAATTACTTCTAGTAAGGACTGATAGGCCAAATCTTGTTCATTATTACTTCTCAGATTGAAGAAATTGAAACATAAATAGATCGTCACACAGATCCATATGGCAACTGCTGCAGTTATAAAAGGACGTGCATGAAAGAAATGTTTGAAACCTAAAATTCCATAACACAGCAGATAAAGATGCTTACTTGCAACGACCATTTATCAGATCAATATAGATTAAATATTGTTCAGACGATGCTTCAGAGTCTAAAAACGGGAGGAAAACAATAAATTGTTTACAACAGAATAAAACATAACATTTATTAAACCATACTTTCATTTGGAGTAATATTACAGTGAAATTATTAGTGTCGAGAGTTTAAGTAAGTTATGTATTTGGCGTTTCACTGAGTGATAATGAAAAGTAAACCTGTTACCAGCTAACTAAAATACCTTACGAACCACTATGCATGCAATATTAGTAACACAAACCAAATGACTTACACCTAATTTGTAGCAAACAATATTCGGTCTACTCCATAATGTCAAATAACTCCGTGACTTTCGGATGTACATACTACCTTTCTTATTTTCAGTGTCACATATCCAGGTTTCATATCAATCCATTAAAGCTGTTCCTCAAACATAAATAGGTAACCCACTTTGGTTTGTAATTGCAGTCATACAGACTACAGAGCTGATAAGTCGAATTCCGGTAGAATATCTTGACAATTTCAAACAGTGGCAGTGATGTCTTAATTAATTGTCCGATCAACGATACGTAAATAGATGACACTACCTATAATACAAAAACATTGAGCATACGTGTTAGCGGATAAACTGTAGTTCTGATTCAAGTAAACAAACCATATCAAGGGTTGCCATTACGATGTGACAACAGTTAGCTGTTGTATGATAGCAACCCAATCAGAAGAGTATGAGGGAATCACAGTGACGATGTTTCATCATGTGACGTAAACCATTTTAGATATTCATCTAAATGATTCCCTCATTTTCGTCCCATTGAGTGTAGTGCAACGCTTTTCACCTTCCTATTTACGAACTTATGAAATCTTATCATACCTATTTAGAATAACAGTTGGAGAGTACTGTGTAGTATCGGTAAGCTCTTCATGATACGCCTATTCGTGTGAGTCACTTTTAAGTGCTTTAACCGATAGTTCACTTCTATAATTCTTCACAATCTCGAGTACCTTCTTGTTACAAAATGAATAATCATGCTGATTTCAAGCATTTTGTGTACCGAAAATTGTCAATTCTAACCGTGATCATGACAACACACAACTTAACTAACACCATAACGCATTCGAATGCTGACGCCAACAAATTCTAGTTCCGAATATCGAAATACACAATATTCATGCTTCTATCTGGACGCACATGCAATTAAATAGACGCGTAATCTGATAGCCCGCGATTTGGCCTTGCAAATGTTTGTATAAAAACATTCGTTTCAATATCCAACATCTTTTTCACGAGCTGGTGTAAACCGATTGATTTCTTTGCGCTCGTTTCTTGTTCTTTCGTTACGGTTCCAGGTGTTTAGTGGTATTTTATGTAAGCGGTTCTTGCCACTCGAATGCCAGATTTTAGTCAGTTGGCAGTTGGTTGTGAGCTTGTATGTCCCGTGATTTGAATGAATACGATTGTTTCAAGGCAGTGGGGATTCTGGATACCTGAAGCTATGCAATTAACAGACTGTAGATCAGTGAATTGAAATGTAAATGATCATGAACATAAAAGTCTTATGCTAAAATGAAGATTTCCGAATACATTCTTCAAATTCTGGATACAAACCTATCTGTTGAGGTACGCCAATTTGAGCAACAAATATGGCAGGTTGCTCCTGGTTTCATCCTACATAAAAGATTTATGATGGCAACTCCAGCGCCAACGACCTCTTTCTGTTCGTCAACCCTCTCGTCCCACAATCGCACGTCTGCCGATCAGTCCCACGAACGAAACCGCTACGTATCGGAAGTGTAAATCCGTTCGAGCGCAGACTGCTGTTGTGATCTAATTTTACGAAGAAGACATGAATGGTGTAATAGAAACATTTATTAATATAATAAGGATAAAAGTCTTATGCTAAAATGATGATTTCCGTGTATATTCTTCAAATTCTAGATACAAACCTATCTGTTGAGGTATGCCAAAGTGTGATAGAAAAAACAAGTCATCTGCAAATTCCAAATTATATTAATTTATTTCCAAATAAAATGTTACAAGGGATATGCCAACTTACAGGCAAGATCAAAATTTTAAAATTGCTAACATGTGTTCTGTAAAAGGTTGTTCAGTTACGTGAATATTTCCAAAGATTCATTGACTACTTATAGATGGCTAGGATGTTTCACATACAATTATACATAATGTTTCAGACTTCGCAATGTACAACTCGATAGTTGGCACAAAATACGCTAGTTGCATTATCATTAACCATCAGAGGCTGAGAAACAATGCAAGGAGAATGCAGGTCTGCATACAACAACAAGAAATGAAGACAAGTCATCAGTAGGATAACGAATGGTCAGTTCATTTCGTGAATCTAGAAAGCTCAGTAGAAATAAATTTTTAGAAATAATACTGATTTACTAATTGTAGTAATGCAGCACAGTGTTTTGATGTACATGTGATATTTAATTCATCCTTTTTTTAATGCTCAAGAAGTCATGAGTGAGCTAATTTTCTAATGGTATAAATTGAAAGTTGTTGGTCAGTTAATTTATGAATAACCAATAGAGGCTGAAAACCAATGCAAGATAAATCCACGTCTGCATATAACAAGAGTTGACGGGGTGAATGTGCAAAGCTATTTTTGTTCACGTTCATCCGATAAAAAATTTAAAGGACCTTCGTACAGTTACCAAAACTTCGGCAGTTATCCAGACTAATGTTTAAGGAATAGAATAAACAGCTGAAAAAGGGAAATAAAAAGGCAAGATGCAGAACAGAAAATATTCTTGATTAAAGCTGATTCATGACTCTACGGATAATATTTTTAGTTGAAACAAAGGTATGATCACTGTGTAGATTTATTTCGACAGTGGCTGTCCTAATTGTTTCCAATAGAAACACTCCTGTACGTTCCTCCTAGTTCCGGGTCCCGACCAAATCAAAAGGGCAAAATTCTAGGAGAAAACGTCTGGAATTTGTGTTCCTTCCAGGGTTAAATTACTCCGCAGAGTATCCAACACAATAACTAGTAAGTGACACTAAGTCCAGCAGCCACCGCGTCCATCCAAAAATGTGGCGGTAGCCATATTATATCAAATTTAAACAATATATGTACAGTTCAGAAGCAAACACAAAAACTTCAATATAAGTACAAAATATAGAAAGAATAACAATATACAATGTTAAATCTCAAATTGGAATCAAATAAAATACCAAAAATGTCAAGAGAAAAAGTCCATCATGTCATAGCAAAAATATGTAAACATGGAGGGATTTTCCAAAACACAAAACATTCAAAAAGAATTCTACACCGGCCCGCAAAATCCCTCCATGCAAAAAGAGCAAGCGTTAATGACACTTTATTTAGGGTTCCCATGTTATCCCCTAATCCACATCGGAATAACGTGTAGGACTTACAGCAGTACGCCTACCCGCCATCCAACATGGATATGACCTATCGTGTTAACTAGGTACCTATACTTCCCCATCAGGCCCTTGATTCCCCTATCTATCGTGGAATGACCTAACGGTAGTATAAACCTTACCCAATTAACCCATACGAACATGAACAACACGTCGCAAAACTGGTCATATCCTATCCAAGGACTACACTCTCTTTCATGGGGACGAGTCGCCAATCAACCACCACTTGCTCCGATCAGCAGATACCATGAAGTCCGTGATGCTAACTTATCAACAGAAGTTTTTGACCCATAAATAATATGCAAGGGTGGGATCTCCAATTTTGACATTTCATCGTCTCCAGAAGACCTTAAGTAGCATGACGTAGGATCAATATTTATCCTTCCATCTCCTGATGCAGAGGAGGTTTGAACAGTATTCATCATCGTCGGTAACTCATTTGTCACATCAGTGACATCCAGTTTATTATCAACGTCTAAATGATTCCGTTCTGCATTAGCATCCGTTTCAGCGGCACAAGACATATGCTCAACAATAGCATCGTCATCACACAGCACTGTAGACTGGCTGTTACCATCAAACACTTTCTTCTCATCATCACTCGACTGACAGTCAACCGTAATAGGAACAGTTACAGCTGCACAACCTTGTGCATCTTCAATCAACTTAACCTTCGTGACGAGGTCCGATGGCGTCGAAACACTAGGAGGCTCATTCGATGAAGTTGATAAACTAGTCCCTATAAGTGAACTGCTGACACTTTCTATCTCCTTATTATCACTGTCACTACTGAGGTTCTGATGGCTACTATTTCCATGGCTAGTCGTAGCATCCGAAAGAGCATGAGGTTCAGGCTTCTTAGTAATAGTAGCATCATGTCTCCTAGGCTTCTTAGCCGTTACTGTACCACCATCACTTATCCTAGAATCTACTCTAGGTCCAGTTATATAATTTACCCTAACTGAAGGGTTCCGAAAATAAGCTTTAGTCCGTTCAGTCAATCCTGCCTGGGTCTTATTCATATTTGCTGAACTCATTAACCTCTGATTACTCGAATCCAAATTACCGTTCCAGGCTTTTCGAGCAGCTAAGAGGCTTTTATCATCACACACTTCGGATCCATCTTGATGCCTACACTTTTCGCCTTTTTCTTTCTTTTCTACACTTAGAAAAGCAATCTTATCTGTTACACCAACCGGCTTCTTGCTAGGACACGCATCAAGAGGCTTTACATCGTTACGGTCACATACTCGTCCTTCATCAGCGTATGCTTTCGTGATATAATTGACAAATCTCTTATCTTCCGAGCGTGCTTTAGGTGGAAACGAAGAATCCGAATGTCTCGCACGCAGACCACTAGTAGCTTCCGTATTATTTCCTGTTTTAGCCTGATAAGCTAATCTTCCAAACCTACTACTAGCTATCTTAGCACGAGACATAATAAATTCCGTCAATTCACTGAAACTAGGCTCTCTCTCCTCTTCGTCCCACTTGATTACTAGCTCTGCCCACTGGGCTTGCATTCGACGAGGTAAGAGCCTTACTATTCGTTCTAAATTAGCCATAGAGTTAAGTTCAGCTGTACAATTTAACTGTTCTAACGTTAAAGCAGCGTTCTGCATTTTAATAGCCAAGTTCGTCAATGATTCAGGATCATTAAATTCTACATTCCCAGTTCTAAATAAGTCCTCTAAGGTTTCTCGCGCTATTACATGCGACTGTCCAAAGAGCTGTTTTAGAATGGCCTTAGCTCTCTTATATCCTGCTTGTGGATCCATAATAATACAGCCTTCAATCGCATTTTTTGCTTTTCCCTTACAATAATGAATTAAATACAATAAACGCACTTGATCATCCTTTATTCGAGGTTCTATAAACGTCTCTATTTGTCGTATGAACTTAAAATAGTCGCGAGACCGTCCATCAAAAAATGAGAGTTCAACCTTAGGTAGTTCTAAACCCTCTATCGATGACTTACAATAATAAATATTAGACATAACATGTGGGTTACCCATAAAAAAGTTATCATTAACGACTTGCCTAGAGCCCTGTGATCCGTCGAGCTCTTCCACCCTCCTCATGTGTGATTTTTTTTTGCTTGACATCATAAATAAAGTTCAGTAGAAAAGGTAACAGATACAAAATAGATTAATTCCAAAGTTCAGTTCAAAAATACGATAAACGATAAAAATTCCAAATGTTTCCTTGTAATTCTTAATAATCCGAATAGTTCCAAAATATATGAGTTCAGATGAATATTTCCAAAGTATAATCCACGAAAGAAGAAATTCCACAAAGTATAATCCACGAAAGAAGAAATTCCACAAAGTATAGTCCACGAAAGAAGAAATTCCAGACTGCAGATTTATTTCGACAGTGGCTGTCCTAATTGTTTCCAATAGAAACACTCCTGTACGTTCCTCCTATTTCCGAGTCCCGACCAAATCAAAAGGGCAAAATTCTAGGAGAAAACGTCTGGAATTTGTGTTCCTTCCAGGGTTAAATTACTCCGCAGAGTATCCAACACAATAACTAGTAAGTGACACTAAGTCCAGCAGCCACCGCGTCCATCCAAAAATGTGGCGGTAGCCATATTATATCAAATTTAAACAATATATGTACAATTCAGAAGCAAACCCAAAAACTTCAATATAAGTACAAATATAGAAAGAATAACAATATATAATTGTAGAATTCTTTTTGAATGTTTTGTGTTTTGGAAAATCCCTCCATGTTTACATATTTTTGCTATGACATGATGGACTTTTTCTCTTGACATTTTTGGTATTTTATTTGATTCCAATTTGAGATTTTATCATTATATATTGTTATTCTTTCTATATTTGTACTTATATTGAAGTTTTTGTGTTTGCTTCTGAACTGTACATATATTGTTTAAATTTGATATAATATGGCTACCGCCACATTTTTGGATGGACGCGGTGGCTGCTGGACTTAGTGTCACTTACTAGCTATTGTGCTGGATACTCTACGGAGTAATTTAAACCTGGAAGGAACACAAATTCGGTAAGACTTTGTATTTCCATTTTATAATAATAAAGAGACGTTTTCTCCTAGAATTTTTTCCTTATTTTGAATCGATTGGGACCCGCGACTAGGAAAAACGTACAGGAGTGTTTCTATTGGAAACAATTGGGACAGCCACTGTCGAAATAAATCTACAATAATGATAAAATCTCAAATTGGAATCAAATAAAATACCAAAAATGTCAAGAGAAAAAGTCCATCATGTCATAGCAAAATTATGTAAACATGGAGGGATTTTCCAAAACACAAAACATTCAAAAAGAATTCTACACACTGAGAATTTTCTCTGTTATATTAGAAAACTAACTATACAGGAAGATTGAGCTTATGGTCTCAGAGTCATCAATACTTGTCATATTCATCTCCTACCCTCATTTCGTTATGTTAGGCTGATGTATGTTGAACTAAATACCCACAAGTCATATCTCACTGTTTTTTCGTTAATTAATGGTATAAATTGTAAGATGTTGGTCAGTTAATAGGTAGTTGGGAGATAGGATGAACTGGCACCTGAAGAAAGAAAAAGGAGAAAAACGGTGTTAAAAATTCATGAATAACGTGATAAGTGGGTAAGAAAGCAAGGTAATTCGATGTGACTGAATCGGTGAAATAAAAATTTATTGAACTCTCAATGCTTGCACAAGCTGCATCCAACCTGCACGTTGCATTAGGTGCTTCCACTCAGATGTTGACATCTTCGAGATCCGGTCAATCACCACAACAAGCCGGAAGGAAGTGAACAGCGGACAACTTTGACTGACACCGATCTCCACTTCAAATGAGTTTGTCAGCTGTTTTCAATGCACATTGTTCCACTTAAAGCCACCATGAGTATATTGTATGATGTTGACTAAATTTTCAGGTACAGAATGGTGTCTTGAGTGCAGAGAAGAGCTGCCAAATATGTGGTAGGGTTGCAAAGTAAGCCTATCGATGATGGATTACGGCACTTGTGATGATTTTCACTGAGCTACGGAAGAATCAGTGGTGACTTGACTACGGCGTGTTACATATTAGTCACACCGATGCATCACCACCACTCCCCTCGAGGCAATCCTCAAAAGATTGCACATCAAAGAGCAAACACTCAAATTCGTGCACACTTTTTCTCATTGCGAGTCGTCGCAACTTGGAATGCTCTCCCAGCCGAGGTAGTTACAGCACCCTCAGTGGACTGCTTTAAGAAGAGACTTAGTAATCACGTACTCACATGCGGACTATCATCTCCCTCTTGGACAAGCTGTGCCTGATGCATATCTTGAGACCTGCTTGTTGTTACCATTGCCATCTCCTCAGATCACTTAATTAATCTATCTCGCATATTCCTCTCCCTTGCTTACACTTCGGTCCTCTCTCACAATCTTCACTACCAATTAACAAACTAAATTCATCTATATATTACTCAGTTCTGAAATTTTACTCATATTATCATTTTAATTTACCCTTATTACCCTTATTACTCTTCACATTGCAACTAACTGATCTCCGGTTTGGTAATGTGACGGCTGCTAGTATCCAGAAACCCTACTGCCCTGAAACAAACGTTTCATTCAAATCCCGAGACATACAAACTCACAACCAACTGCAAACTGACTAGAATTAGACAGTGGAGTGGCTAGACCTCCATCCAATGGACATTGTCGAACACCTGGAACCGTACTGAAAGAACAAGAATCGAGCGCGAAGAAATCAAATTGGCTTACACTAGCTCGTGAAAAATATATTGGATATTGGCTTACGCTTATGCATATATTCACAAGGTCAAATCGCGGTGTATCAGATTTGGCGTCTGGTGAATTACATTTGCTAGCGGTTTCTAGTGAGTCTATTTGCTGTTGTTTCGGTTCTCTGTTGAGTTTTCAGGCATAGACAAGGACTAGGCTGTGCTTGGAGAGTATGAGGAGTAGTATATAAGGTTATCGCGAGTAGAAAATCACAGTTAGCTAGTGAATAAGTGATTACAGGACATGCTCCGGCTTTTAATTGGAAAGACAGTGGACAACAGAAAAAATATCATGAAAAACTCATAATCTCACCAAGAAATTTTAGCGTCTGGCTTCGAACGCGTTACGGTGTTAGTAATTTGTTGTCATTATCAAAGTAGAAATTGGCATTGTTTGATCCAGGAAATGCTTAGGATCAACACAAATACTTAAAACGAAACGGAAATGTATTCAAGAATAGTACGAATTATGGGAAGTGTCCGTTTCTCAATGTCTTTTAAGTTAGCGATCGTATTTCAACTGGCCTAGCTATACTCATTTCTTTTCATACTTACTTTCAACTTTGATTCATTGAGTAACCAGTCCATTGAACTTGTGTAATTATTAATGTTGTGGAACCTTCTACTGTATAGAGCATTTATATTTGAAATCTTTTATTCAGTTTATTGTACGAATCATTTACACTCTGCTATACTATACCGATGTATGATCATATCAACTTGCAACTAAACACTTTTCATGATGTAAGCAGCTGACAAGTAGCGACTGAAATGAAATGAACGCATTTTATTTTGCTCAACTGTTTCAACTTGCTCTCTTCAAGGTGATAAATGGAACCATATTGATTAGGCGTTTTTTCGCAATCACTATATGTTAGTATATACAATTATGTTAATAGAGTAATCGGTTGTTTTGATGAGATGATATTAACTAATGGTTGTAAATTGTCATGGTCGTAAAATGTGTACAATGATGTCAAGCCTCATCACTTCTTGTTTGCTTCTTGTAATTGTATTTATTAATAACAGATTTTGTTATTACTTCTAATACTGTAAGATTTCTGTTGAAATAAGTTTGTATTCCAGTGCCGATGGTACAGAGGAACGTGAACTGATGTACGCTGAAATCATGTTGCATGTTGTGTTCATATCTTTTGGTTGTAGTATGAAGTGATTGGATGTTATTGACAAGTATTCATTACTAATCCTGAATGAGTTATTTTGTGTAAACTTTAATGAATAGTAAAATGCACTTCGAAAGGGTTGGTTTAAATTCATTCATGATTTATGTGAATGTAAATAAACTATTTCACTTGAATCTCTTCTCTTTTCTGAGTTTAGCTAATATGGGAAGCACGTTTTCACAGTTTAGAAGAATACATCACTGAAGTTGAAAATTATTTCCAATTCATAGATGCCGAACGTCAAATGATGTCTAGAACTGAAGTAAGTTTTTGAGCCTGGCTTGTCATGTGTATAATGGCTGTTGTTCAGTCGTAACTAGATCCAACAATCAATGACTTCATATTGTCTACTGGTTATTTCGTGTGTGAAAATATCTCATGAGATTGACTAAGTAGTAGGTTAGATCTGTGATTCAATGGTACGGAATGTTCCTCTTGAGGTAGGTAATGAATCAGTCAACCATTCATCTCATCGTATTGAATTGGAACATCACAACAATGTTATTGTTAGTGTGACATAGAGATGGATTAAAGCATGACTGCGTTAGCTGCGCGCTGATTGGCTAATCTCTGTTCAATGGGCGCCTGATCGATACTGGGAGATTGATTCTCGTGTTATTAGCTGAATGCTGATTGGCTAGATCTAGTCCGGTCAGCGCCAGTCAATCACGTGGATTAGATTCGAGAAGCTTCTTATGAAAATACTATAAAGATACTAACGTTGTTTCTATTTCGCCTCCGCTTCGGCTTCTTACTTCCACTTGACCTTGCATTTCGGAATATAATCTTTTCCTGTTCATCCGTGTTCTGATTTGGGGACTTGTCGAGTGTATTGTTGTCAGAGGATACTAAGCAGTAGACATAGCTGGGTTTACTAAGAGAGATTTATAACCGTTATTCAATTCATGAACTAATTGTGATCATTTCAAATGAAGATTATGACCTATTGGTTTTTTTATCAGCTAGTCTTTACACAATTATTATGTTCAACCTTGATATGGTTTTCTATGTTCCTACTTACGAAAAATCATTCAATTGAATTGGCTTATTTGTTGTTGTTGAGAACTTGTGTTTCTCATTTATTTAGAAAATTCCACTACTACATATTAGCTATTACTAATATAGTGATAATCTAGTTGAAAACAATATTGTTTATATACCATTGTGGCTCAACAAATAGAAAATACAATTACCTCTGTTTGAAATGGAAGTATAACACGTTAAAAAAGTACGAAGCTAATACATGGATGTAATTACTTAATGCAATCACTGATTATTATTGATGTACGGTGTGTATGACATATGATGGTCAATTTGTTTTGAGGGGTGCAGAAACTCCTTGACATATATGACTACCATATAAAGTTTGCCTCAAAATTAATAACTTCGTCTATACACTGCTGAAATAAGCAATTTTCCCATTGTGCTAGTTGACTCTTTATTTTTAATAAAGAATCTTTCGTTTATGTAATCTATGTACAAAATCACTAGCTTTTCTTATCTTGATTAGGAATGGAAAAGCGACATTAAATCACCGATTCATCACAATGTACAACATCAATTGAAACCAGTAAAACGACGTGTGTATTTAGCTACTGATGAACCTAGTTTATTCGATGAAGCCAGATTGAAATATCCTAATTATACATTTTATGGTGATCGTAGACGTGCTGATTCAGCTGCTATCTCCAACCGATTAAATAATGATTCTATTATCGGCATAGTCACTGACATATTATTGCTATCAAAAACCAATTTTCTAGTTTGTACTTTTACTTCTAATGTAAGTTGAAGATGTTTGTATTTTGTTTCACAGTGACATGTAAACGACCTAATTAGTTATCTATCATTGTTTATCTTATCGTTACCATTTGTTTGTTTGTTGGTTGGTATAAATCATCATTAATTTGAACGAAATTCACACTTGGTCATAAGTTGATCATGGTTGACTGATTGGATTTTATAGCATTGAAGTTCTATCGAAAATTTTTATTGATGAAAGTAACTGAAGATATTCTGACTAATCAAGATTTGTATATAGAAAGAGCGAACTGATTATTTACAGTTGGTTCGTAAGTTGTCTTCACGAAAGTCATGACTGATGACGAACCAGTAGTCGTTTTGTGAGAGAATTCTGACAACGAAACACTCGAGATAAGTTGCAAAATGAAAGTGCTATGAGAAATTTTACTACTAATCATCATTTTGTAAGTAGTATGATCGGTTGTCTTTGTTACTGTACTCTCACATAACTCATTTATGTTAATAATTCGGTTTCAAGCTTGCTTTATTTTATTCTCCTCCGGTGTTCCTCGTGACAGGTTTGTCGATTAGCTTACGAATTGATGCAATCTAATCATTTAGAATTCGGTGATGCAAGTCAACAATTTCGTTCATTAGATGATGTGTATCATTTTGTTGGACAACAACTTGCACCATATGAGGTAGTAATATCAAATATTGAAACCGATTTATCTCGTGGTGATTTAGTTCAATTTCTTGGTAATCATTGGAATGGTTATGCAGACGTTGAAAAATTGAATACCGGTCGCAAAGTCATGGCACCAGCATTTAAATTTACTTCAAGGTTGATGAGTGCTCCTATGATCGGTGCACATACAAATCGATCTGAATTTGTTCTTGATAATAATAAATAATAGTGTTTTCTACGTCAGAAAAAATTGGATCCTTCATCGTTGTTCCTCTCTTCTATGTTCTGTTGACATACTTCCTTATAGTTTATTCTCAACGAAAAGTATTCGTTGCTTATAAGTGAAGTTGAGGCCTACCTAAAAGTGGTGTCATTTATTGTGTCCAGCGTTGACTTTGGTGGCTTCACCGTAGTCCAATCTTTATACATATTCTCCTATTGGTGTTCATGTGATATGTATATATTCATTCTTTGTATAATTTTACGGTTGATCTCAACCCACAATACAACATTGTATTTCATGTGTTATCGTTTGTATAAATCTGCACATATTAATTATTTACTTTTTTTAGAAAAGAAACTTCTATTCGTATCGTTTATTTATTGTTATTTTGTATCCTGTCTTTTCACCTTGTTTTTCTGATTTTTATCAATAGATTGATAATGTGTTTTTAGTTTCTTTTGTGATTACAATATTTTGTCACTGCTTACTCTTCGCTTGATGAATTGTTTGCATGAGATCAAGTTTAGGCAGAAAAGACCAACAGGTATACAATAAATGAGTCTGATGTTTGTTTTACAGATTAGAAATATATTGATTCCAATGTGACTGACTATCTGTTGGTATGACAAAAACTGAAGCAATGTTGAGTGCCATCGCTCTTGAAAGTAGGTTAAATCTTTCAGTTCAATAAAGTAAAGTAAAAGACTTTGATCTCGCCATGTATTCTGATTCGACACTACAATGTACTACATTGTTCATATTAGAGACATTGATATAAGACAGGCTGACTTATTGAACTATTACGGAATCTAGCATCAGCTTATTCGTCATACCTGTAATCTCTTTTTCTCTATAAGTAGGTTTATTTCGAATAGACTAATTTCCAGAAATGCTATAGTATTAGGAAATGTCACATGAACTAGACCTTAGTTTGCACTTATAATTGGCGTACGATCACAACAAAGATCCTCTATATTGTTAAGCTAACGAACTACCATCTGTTTGCTATTGATTTTGTACTCGACTATGAAACAGAATTTAGTTAGTTTTAAACTTGATGCATAGATTCAATGTTTTGTTCAGTTTGCAGATTCATCAATGACATTTAGAAATCAGAATTATTCTTTTTCTTGTCAAATGAAAATTATTTTATCATAAAAATGTTTTATTTAACTTGATTTGGTCATATTTTACCTACCATTTTTAATGACGTATCTATTTTTTTTTTATGTGTGTAATATTCCATATATGTTATTGCATTTTCTTGTGAGATTATCGACAAGCCAGAATTTGAATAATGTTGGTAAGTTGTTTATTACTGATCATTTAACTCTGCAGAACAGTTAATATTATCAATAAACTGGAAAACAAGTAAGAAAACAGGAACAATGTATACATATAAATGCATGCTGTTCGATGTCAGATAAATGATGAACATTGTTTACAAACCAATCAAACGAAAACATTCGTATGTAGAGCCTAATCGAATGTCCAAACTAAATTCAATAGGTAGTGAATAAAAAATGAACTTCTCTTGATTTGTTTTAAGTATTATGATAAAATAAGTCATACAAATACAATGTTACTAAATACTGATTAAAATATCATCCAATTTACCAGTGGTTCAACAGATTTCTCAATTGCAAACAAAATCATGGTAATTCATTATTTATAGCTAAAATCTGCAAAATTATTTAGAAAAAAAATATAACTGAAATGGAGTTCAAGCAAATTGTAGAAAAATTTCCAAGATGAGGAATATAAAAAAAATGCATCGAGATTTTATGTATTGATCATTCAAGCCTCACCATAACCATAGACTATAACAGACGAATCTGAAATAGATGAACAACTAAAATGCTGTTTCAATCAAATAGACATTATGAATACCTAGAGGTAGATCAATGTTTATATGCGTGAACTTCACAGTACAACTAGTTATTTCTTACTTCTAACTGGATTGCTTACTTACGCCTGTTATCCTTGATGGAGCATAGACCCATGAACAGCATTCTCCAATCTACTCTATCCTAGGTCTTTCTTTCAAGTTCTATCCATTTGCTACTTATCCTTTTCATGTCTGCTTCCAATTCTTCTTTCGTCGTCACCGATAGCTTTTTCCCAGCCTTCGCCTACATCAGACAACACCGTCCATCAAATTAGTCGGTGATTGAGCATTTAGATAAGACAAATAGACAAGTATACATTAAGTTGAAGTGTTAATGACTAATACAATTATTATGGAACTATTAGTTTGATATCAAAAAAAGAAAAAGTATTTATAAATAGTTATTTGTCAGAGAAAAAATAATGGAACAACAATTGAATTGTAAATTTTTTTATTTAATCATTATTCATTAACAACATTTCATTAGATTTGAAAACTTGATCAAATTATTTTGCGTTGATTAGTTAGTTTTCATGGTTTATTGACTGACTACTTGATGTTGTTCATTTGATAAGGATATTTTATGTGAGAATGTTTTATTTGTAAGGCAGTAATGATTATCTTTATCATGATTGACAATTTCTATAGCCCATAATTGTACATTGAATGATGAGAATAGAAGAAAGAAGAAACCAGCAATGATAAATATTACAGAACCTAAATAAAATACATAACGCCATTCTGTATAAGTTTTCTTGAAAAAAAAAACAAGAAGACAAATAATTTAAATTTCTCCATGGATCTGGTTTTATTGCAACATAATTCTAGATTATTGTGTTTAAATAAGAAAAAAATCGTGCAGAATTAGTTCAGATAATAAAAACAATATAAAACCTTTATGTTGATAGCATATAATTACCGAAGACAATGGGTGGGATAGCTCAATAGCTTCGATGTAGCAAAGTTATGTACATTAACTACAGGTTAATGTTAGTGCGCGAAGCTAAAGATCCTGCGTTGAATTCACGAGATTAGTGCTGATCGATATGTACTGTTAATGAGTCCTATAATTGGACAATTTGGCCATCCAATGCTTCTATATTTCTATGATAATCTGACAATGATCAATTCATGATTTCAATGGAACAACAATCTCCATAATTCTATCATGAAAAGTGTTTTATGATTTCTTTCAATCTATCTGATTATATTTATTTTGATAGTTGATATTATATGTTCAATTGGATTGAATATAAATTTATTCTAGTTTATAGTGTACATGAAATCATTTCGATTAGCAGCAATTTCATTTCATTTTCACATATACTATAATTTTCAAACAATCTATCTTACTATAAATCATTAAAACAAATTCATTTTATTCAAATTCTTAACGATACTTTCCAATATCTTTGAATAATTTGCTAAATGAACATTTTGCCTTAAAGTTATTACGTTGTTTTTAACTTACATTTGATGTTAAAGCATTTGCTACAATTGGACTCAAAAATCCTGTCAATGCACCAATTGAATTAGAAATAGAAAATAATAAACCAGAATATTTTGGTGTAATTTCAATTGGACTAAGCATTCCACCAGAGAAAACACCAGAACTAAGAAACAATCCAAATGTCAATAGGATTACAACTGCATATTTATTATGACAATCAAACAATGTAATCAAGATCATAAGAATAGCTGGTCCAAAATACAAA